AATTCGCTTCAACTGTCTTCCTCTGTCGAATCCTCGCTCCAATTGAAAACCCTATTTTCCACAAATTCAACAAACAAATCAATACAAACCCAATGTAGGGTTTCAATGTCAAATACACGCATGCATAAATACTGAAAAATGAAGCATAAAAACCTCGAATTCAATAAGCTTCGAAAATCAAAACCCTAACCCATGAAGTTAAAAAAGATAATTGAAATCGTAAGGAGAAAAATTACGAGTTACCCAGAAAATTTTGACGAGCTGAGTGAATAGATCGGCGCGAAAAATCTAGCTGGCGAAGCGAAACAACGTGTGAAAAAGAGAGACTTGACGAAGACAGATCGATAAACACCGAGAATTGAAAGCTCCAAGATGAATCTCTCTCTTTCTCTCTCTCTCTCTCTCAGAGTTTGTGTGTGTCTATCTGTTCGTTCCTCTCTCTCTTCTTGTTGCTGTTCTTGTTGGTCTGAAAGACGAAACCTCCGTCTTGTTATAATTTTTTTTCCTTTTTTTTTCCTTATTTCCGATCTTTGCCCTTTGGGGTTGTGTTACGATTGTGAGAGTCGTGGGGGTACGTTGAAAAAATTACCAGAATATCCTTGGGGTCTTGGTCTATGTAGAAACAGATTCGTTAACTAGTTACCATAACTTATAAGAGACCGGCCTTCAGTTTAACCGACTCCAGTTTCATAAAATAAATTTAAAATAAAAAATTTAACCGCCTCCAATAGTTTCACTAGCATATAAGAGCTCCACTTGCATTATGACTTACATACAATGGTGAATTATGGCTCCACTCCACCTATTCAAAAATAAAATAATAAATGGCGATGGGGTCTAGTACGGTGAAAAAAGTTTTGATTTGCATACCTGAAATGTCAGGTTCCAACCTCATAATATCTTAAACTATCATTTATACTAAAAATAATAATAATAATGAATAAAAATTCATACAATATAAAACAATGTTAAATAAATTTCATACATGTCATTTGCATATCGACTCCAAATACACATATATTGAGAAGTGGATTTTTTTTAAAAAAATACGGCAATTTTATTGGAAAAAACTTAAGCAATATATTCTAATTAAAAATCAAATGGTTCTTCAAACCAAACACATTAAAATTACTAACAATGCATAATGATCAACATCATCAGCCTCACAACAAACATAACAAATTCATGAACAAAACGAAAATCTTTTGTGCATAACAATCCGCCCCAACCAATACAAATCAAAGATATGGACTAACTAGCATTCACAATTTTGGGATGTGGTTAATTTCCTATACGTTGACTTAGTTTTTTTAATTTACTAATAATAAAAATAAAATAAAAAGGATTTGAGACTTAGTTTAAAAGTAGAAGGAAAAAAAAAATCAATATTCTTAAAATAAAATAAAAAGTACAAATAAACTTGTTAGTACTTTATTCAAATATGTTAAAGAAATTATGAGAAGAGAATCACCTTCTCATATATATCACAAAATTACTTTAAAATAATTGTTTTTTTTATAATCAAAATAAAAAAAATCATTGTATTTATTTGTGCTGATTACTACTTTAAATTAGTGCTGGGCCCCACCTTGTATAAGGTATTTTGGTATAGTAGTAGATGTGAAGGGTGTAATTGTCATTTTAAGTTGATGGTGGGGCACTGTGGTAATAGAAATTATAGAAAATAAGGGAGGGTTATTTTGGTAAACATGATTTTGGCGCTCAACTGAACTTGAGCGAAATAATTTAGGAGGGGAGGGAGAGAAGGGTTTGCTTTGCAGATGCAAAATATGCAGACGGAGGGACTCCCAAAGTCGTCGCGGTTTTGAGGCTTTGAGATACTCAAATCAAATCTACCTACAACTTTATATTAAAATGGTCGTGTGTCCAAAATTCCTGGAATTGGTCAAAGTGTTCAAGTTTGGATTTGGACTCGATTGAAGCCCAACAAATTTAACTAGGCTCTCTGACCACAACTTGTTCCCCAAAATTTTATTTGGGTATCTAGCATATGGGCTTTGGAGATGGAGATGTTGAGGAGGTGTGTTGAGGATTTCAATCTAGTCGTCTGAACTCATTGATCGAATCGGTATTAAGGACTCTCTTATTCTAACCCCTTTTTACGGCTTCTCTATTGGGGATGATGGTAAAATAATGACAGGAGCAGTGTAACGACAAGTGAAGAGGATAAAAAACGAGATGCACTGTTTTTACAGTTACAAGGGCTTTGGTGATAATGGGATTATTTCACCAATGGATAGAGAGAAATCATTATAGCTCTAGAAAAAGAGAAGAGGAGATGATCTCATACTTACAATTTTTTACTTCTGCAATGATTATGTACTACACGTGGAGGAGATTGTTCTCTCTCTCTCTCTCTCTCTCCTCTCTCTCTCTCTCTCTCTCTCTCTCTCTCTCTCTCTCAATGATTTCTAGCTATATAATATACACTTGGAGATCTTTTTTTTGGCAAATCAACAGCCGTAATTGAGAAGATTTCAAATTGTTATTTTAATTGAATGGTTGAGATTAACTTGATATTTTCCACATGAAAAACCAAATGTACTTTTTTTTTTGGTAAATACCATGAGGTGTCCCCACACCTGGAAAGTGAAACTAATCCCCTCTTAGTGTTTAACTTGCTCCTAATTACAAAGTGCTCCCAATTGGTTTCGAATCACTGCAAGTTGGGCACCAGTCAATCCGCTAGCTGGAAGTAGCAATTTTCTAACCGCACCACACCTTGTGGTTAAATGTACATCTTTTAATTGCCCTAAAAATGTGTTTATATTCATTGGAAAATGGCAAACATGGGCTTAGCCAAGTCGAATCTACACTTAATACATGAGTTCAAATCCTCCTCTCCCGTAATTTATATTAAATTAATATTGAATGTGGTTTGTATAAATTTAAAAAAAATGTACATATATCCATTGAAAATGCAATTGATGATGTAAAAGTGACTTTACATTCCATACTTTACACCTAAACATTGAAGATGCTCTAAAGTCGATATTGTCCAAATTATATCCAACAATATTCTGTATCAAAAATGAAGTTTGAATTCTTGCCCAAGCCCAAAGTCTCTCCAACAATCTAGTTAAGTCCAAAAGGAAAACACAGACAGAAAGCTTATAGTACCACACCACATCAAATCAAGCTGATTGAAAGCCTTTTTAGTTTGGTTGTATGCTGACAATGGACACCAGTGGAGACCATGGTCTTCAATTTCATAATTAGGGAACTTTCAAGTTTTAGCCTTTTGCCAATTTCCTTTGACAAAAACGTAGGTATTGCCCATATGAATGAACCACCCAAAACACATGAGGCCACCCCAAGACCAAAAAAAAAGGGAGGAACCTGTCAGACAACCGATACAACCACCCCAGCCAGTCACCCAGCTGAGAACGATCCTCTACGGCTATTTGGGTCCCAAGGGAACCAGAAGCTGTTAATCACGCTCTGATCGTACGGTCTTGATTCATCCACCAGGTTGGGATTCCTGTCTCCTTAGAAATCAAGGATACAGAGGTACGATCCTATAGAACAGATCCTGTCCAAGTAAGGTCGTGCCCTTTCTTCACATGCTGAGCTATATAAACTCGTACAGTTGTCTCTATATTCTCGATGTGGGACTCTCAACACTGAGCCTTTGTCTTATTTTTGTGTTGATTTCCGTGGCATACAAATGCCTGCCGTTGATTTCGTAGTATCAGTACGTTTCGTTTTCATTGCCTTCACAAATCTTTGTAGTTAACCCTCACATCAAAGGCATTACACACAGTTTTATCAACAAGTACTTTTGTGTTTATAGATTCAAGATTTTATCCCAACTCCAATGTTTTTCAACGTTTCCACTTCTTCTCTCTCCCCTCAAAACTTCCTCTTCTACTTCACACTCATCACCCGAAACCCCACTGTCACAACATGTCACCCTTCTTACATTTTCTTCTTATTCAAGTTTGGCGCTGCATTCATGCCGCCACGACCTTCAGACTCCAAAACAAGTCCATGCTCGTTCCTTCCTCATCTCAATTGGGTTCAGAGCTGTTTCTGTTTTTCCAAAGTTAACTACTTTCTATGGCTAATGGTTATGGTAAAATTTGTACCCAAGCAAGAACTAATGCACCATACAATTCGGATCGATCCATTTGCTGAACATAGTAAAAAAAAACTGAGCATGATTTTGCCGGAAGGATTAGGAGGAGTTCTCAGAGGAAAGAAAAGACACCAAGCACCAATCATTTTCAAAAACACATTTTTTTTTTAAATTGAGTGCTTCACTTTCCAATATATTGCTATTTAGCTCTCTAACTTAAACCAAAAAGCGAAGACTGCACAAAACAAGTCCTAATGGAAAACAAAAGGCAATTCCAAAATAACACAAAGAAACAAACAGGACCCAAACCACAAATGCACAGCAACTTAGAAAAACTGCATTCCAGTAAATGCTTGATATATATATATATATATCAAGGTTTATTTTATATCTTGGAACTGATAGGCTGCTTTGGCATAAGCATAACCCAGATCTGGATCCCGAGTAAGTTTCAGTCTAATACAATTATAATGACGCGGAGTTATCAAAACCCATTAGATTCATCCAATCTCCAATGGTTTTTTTTCTTTCTTAAAATACGTGTAAATGCGTTGATGTTAAATGCAGAGAGACTCGGGATCCTTTTGGACCCTTCTCTTCCCCCACCACCATAGTAAAGTCTTAATAATTCAATTAAGAAAATACAGTTTCCCATCACCAAAAGAAAAAAGAGAGAGAGAAAAATAAAAGGGGAGAGGAGTTAATCTCAGTCTGTATAAGCTAGTTCTCAAATTCTGCACAATATATGAAAATTCCAAACGGTTCTAAACCAAATAAAATACCATCCTCTAACTTCCATAATAATTACAACAAAATAAAACATTAAAATAAAATAAAAACAGTAAAAGTAAAACTGATCCAGACTCTGTATATGTTCATGAAGGGGGTTGCTGCAAACTCATCAGAACATGAAGGGGGTTGCTGCAAACGCTGCAGGTACGAACACAGGCGCATTGTTTCCCCTGAAATTACACAAAATTTCCACACACAAAAAATATTATAAATAAAAAAACCAACCAGAAATTAAACTGAAAACCAATAAATTATAATAATTACCCGGAGAGCTCGTCGTGACTAATGCAACTGAGGCTTCGAGCCTTGGCCTTACGTCCTTTCTTGGACGATATCTTCTCAGACTGAGCCTTACCCTCGTGACCAGAAGCAACCACATCCTCTGAGATTGCAACAAGAGCTGGCCTCCATTGTTGAGCAGACTCTGCAGATTTTGATCTTCTCACACGGCTTTTGATCATCTCATGATCTTGAGTTTGCTTCAACGACGACGAAGAACGGTAACACGACCCCAACTCCAACAGGAACTTCATGGTTGATCTGCTGCTTAGGTTTGGTCTGGTATGTATGTCTTCTTAAAAAATAAAAACTAAAAACTAAAAACTGTGTGCTAGCTTATGGTCTGGTTTGGTGCAAGTAGAATTAACGTGAGAACGAAGGTTTGTTGCTTTTGGTAGGTTTTAACTTTTGTTTAGGCATCTATTTATAGGGATAAGTTAGGATTTATGACGCTGACGTGGAGTGTCTTCTTTTCTAAATCCCTTATTAATGTTAATCTGTAAGAGCATCCACAATGGGGGATGTAAATTCGGGGGTGTAAAACCACTTTTACATCCCTTTTACACATTCGGGGGGTGTAAATATGTTTTTTGCTCCAATAGGGGGTGTAGCCGTGGGTCCCAATCATTTATGTTGACTTTTCTTCATTTTTCTCGGGTGGGTCCCGCCTGCAAATGATGTAAAAATAGATGTAAATATACATTTTATTTTACATCCACATGGTAGTGAAGTATATTTACATCCATTTACATCTCCCCATTGGAGACGATTCTGGTGACTCAGGGTGTATATTTAACATACACCCCTCACTATGGATGCTCTAATCTAATTAATCCTAATTAACATTTGGTAATTAAAATGGTAGTTTTGTTTTGCCCTATTTAGTTTCCTATGGGTCCATAATTTGGCAGGAGGTTAAGAGTTTCTCGTTAATTATCCATTATCCAAATATTATCGGATCTTAGCCAAATAATATCCCACAAAGTAAAGTTAGATATTATATTCACAAGAATTATTGTTTTATTTGTTCTCTTTCTCCGTATTTGATTAAATATACGTTCATTCTCTTTATACAAGCGATATGAGGGGACCTCGGATGCAGATAGCTACAAACCCCTTGCAATTTAATACACATTCATGAATCTCTAGTCTCACCTGTTTTTTTTTCCCATGCCTACATGACATGAATGGTCCTTGTTTCTTTTCCCCTAGATTCTTCCTCATCTTTGAGATTTGAACTACTTAGAATATTATTAGAATAAAGTGACTCAAACACCACTAATCTGAGAACCAAATTACATAAATATTTTCCTAATCCAGTGAACTCCGCAAGAATCAAAATTCTTGCGACCACCTAACTCAAATCACAAAATTATAGGGAGACTTTGGAAAAACACAAAGTAGTGAGAAATTTTGTAAAAGAAGCCAAAATGGACAAAATTGCCATTATTTATTTTTAGATTTTTTAAGGAATCTTTTACATTTGCATGTCTTTGATTTGAAAGTTGAGAGGTTTTTCTGTCTTTTTTGAAAAAGCTTTGGCTTTTTTCAAAAGTGAAAATTTTTTTTTGGCTAAAACCTAAATTTACACCAAAACCTAAATTTACTAATTAGGGGGATATTATATTATTAAATTGTTGTTAGGCCCCATTATACACATTGAAGTCTTGTTGGCCCACTGAGTAGCTGGCCTGGGTCTTCATATGTACTGTCACAATTTAAGGCCGAAAATAGAGGTGGAAGAAGAAGAAGAAGAAGAATCTAGATTATAAATCCCACCATAAAAAAATAAAATAAAACAATTTAAAAGAGGCCGCACTAGTAGGGAAATACCGACACTTCTCCACCACAAAATGTTACACTTATAGGGAAGGTTTATCATTTTTACTAATCATCACATCAATCAAAGATCTTCTTCCAAACCACAATCAAACCCCCAGTGAAAATGAAAACGAAAGTAATCCTATCTTATCTTAGGGTAAAAAAGATAAAAGAACTTGGGCTTATCTCTTTTTCTCCAATAGGAACTTTGAGCTGAGTTTTGGCCATGGGCTGTTTCATGTTTTGAGTTGGGGCATAACAAAAACAAACACAACCCAGAATAGGGTTTGTCCCAATGGGCTCATCCTACAATGGTGCTGGCTGCACGGGCTGGAGCTTCAATTGGAGATGGATCGGTTAGCGCCGACAAGCATGCTTGTGTTCGGTGTGATCGTCAAGCCGTCATATAGTGTTACCAATGAGTTCATATGGTAAGAACATTTACTTGCAGATCAATAGTATTAGGTTCAATCCTCAATAACACCTTCTCCCTTCCCAACTTTGATTTTTTTTTAAACACAAATATTTACTTATTTATTAATACTATATTAGGTAGTGATATTTCTCAAGCTTTAATAACCTCACTTGGATTAACCAATAAACTAAGTCCATAACATATCAAATCATAACTCTGTGGTTTGAAGTTTGTTGGTATCAGACAAACATTTAAAAAAATTGATTGATTGATGTCAGGACTAAAGTTTGGGTGAAATCTACAATGCTTATAGATCATTTTATATTTCAAATCAAGCGAACAAATTTTCCTGGTTGTTGTTTTGACGTGGCATAAAATGCTGTCTTACCCTACTGACTTGTCTTTCAGGGCAGACATACATTTCCATCACCTTCAATTGCTCCACTAGAAACAAAATAGAGTTCGAGAGTTCTCGGTCTTGTTTTTCTTCATGGCTCTCTTATGCTTGGATGGGATTGGGGAAGAAATATAATTAACCTCCATAAGATCAAGATGATAATGAAGCTCCCCAGCTAGAGATTATCCACAAATTCAGCTAACTCCCACTTAGTTTAAACTAAAAAGCTTAATTATCTTTTACGTAAGCAATATTAAGGAAGGAGAGATTCGAACACAGGATCTCGGTTACTGCATGAGTAACTGTACAGTAGCTAGATTATGCAGGATGGTATTCATTGAGACGACAAGGCTTGAGCACCATACATTACACAGAAGACAATTTCCTTTTCCCTTGTGAAGGAATGCAAAATCTCAATCACTAGATATTTTTTCGGATTGTCTAAGTAAAGTGAGAGTGACATGTCTCTTACGTGCAGCAGGCTAGGCAAAAAAAGCAAAAGCTACGACTTTTCAGTAACAAATTATTCCGGAGAAAAATATGTATATGTTACTGACATTCATGAATCATATACATATATATATGATGCCTCAAATCAGAATTGAAATAACTACTTTTTCTCTTTTTGTACTTTTCTTACAGCCTTTTGATTTTCTTCGAAATGCAATAATATAAAGGTCAGAGCCAATAATACAATACATAATTATTGGTATATAATTACTGAATTTCTTTGGCTGTTTCCAGTCTTTGAGATGTTGATATCAAATAAATGTGCAAATTATGCCAATCTTTTCTGGAATTGAACCTTTTAATTTGGAAATTAACACTTCGTATATATGCACGGAAGAATTTTGACCTAAGTTTCAGTCTTAATTTGTAGTCTGATAACATAAGAAGCCGGGAACTATATATGTACTAAGATAAATGAAATTACTCTTTACTTCAACACAACACTTAGTTAACTGAAGTCTCATCTCAAGTATTGACTTTATACAACCGCATGAAAAACGACCCGAGTGGAGATGGGTAGTTTCTAGTTATATATATTCCATTTTTTTTAGTATTTTCTAGGATTTCCGTCTCCATGCAGACACTGCAAAAGACAAATTAACCTATTTCATTCTATATGTATATATATAAAGCCTGTTTAAATTGTTGCACCTTCCCTGGTGCAGCTTCGTTTACTAAAAACAATGATTGAGTAAGAATTCTTCTTTTTTTCTCTTTCCTTTTAAAATAATCAAACAAACAATTCACAAAGGTTTTTATGTGCCAATATTCCATGGTCTTTAACCCCATATGGAACTGACATGTTTGTGAGATGACCACATATGTCCTCGTGGGAAGAGGTCTAATTTGTCTTTTCCTGTGGCTTCACGTGGCACAAGAAACCAAGTGCAAAGGATGGGTAACCATCACAAAACTCAAAGGCAAATCCATGCTGATTAAATTAGTGTTGTGGTTTGTCTTAAATCATACTGCATGAGTGCAAATTCGACAAAACACTGGCCGGCGAAGACAGCTTCTTTAACCTACCCTTTACTCTCTTCAACACCTCCCACAATTGCTAGTCTCTTAGATAATGAGAGGTGCTAAGTAATTAGCAATATGCCAAATTTGCTTGGATCCGGAGCTAGCCTTACATGAGCTCCGTCTATGAGAATTGAAGTGCTAGATTCTTATAGTTTGAGTATTGGTAATTGAGTAAAAAAAATAAGAAAAGAACATCGCCATTTGGAATATTCAAATGGGTTGATTTGGTTTTTTAACTGTGTTAATTAACGATATCAATGATTTACGATGCGTATTGCTCTACCTCATCTCATATATATGTTCTGTTATGATAAATTTTAATTAACTAATTAACACATTCGAATTTGATACATCTTCCAATGAAGTGTAACAAAATATCAGTAGACGAAAACATATTTAATGACATTACCATGTTGATCCCATAAGCTAATTCTTACTTAGAGACCTCCCCATCACTCTATATATATATATTAGTTCATATACCTTTAATTCCCCTTTCTCAGGGATGCCACTTAATTATTAAATAATTGGTCCGGATATTTCAAGAAAAATGTAGAAGTATACAATATTCATCATACGTGCAACTAATTATCAATGCATTCTTTTCATTTTATTATCAATCTGAAAGTTCCTATTGTGTATATATACCATATTTATGTATGGATAACTAGGGATATATAATCTCTCTCTAGTATATATATGGTTCAAAGTAGCAGATAAGTTATAGCTCTCAACTCCGTGCATGTTTCATAGACAGAAACACATCTCACACACAAAAGCCATAGACAGATTTCCATTAACCCAAGGCCTCATATATCTCTTGAAACTAGAAACTCACAAACCAACAGATAAAACCCTAGCTCTTCAATCCCATCCACCAATCTTCACAGGACACGTGTCCAGCACCCAACTGTTCCTTTCGTCTCCCTCCTCCTCCTCCCTGAAGCTCCTTCTTTTCCCCCACATATTTCCAATAATCAGAACCATGAAAACTGAAGTTAGAGGAAGTACCACCTCCATTTCTTTACAAAATCCTACTACCATCTTCAACACCTCTCAGGGCGCTTCGCTAACCGGCGCGCTTAAAGGGTGTCTTGGAAGCCTTGACGGGGCATGTATAGAGAAGCTCTTACTTCACTGTGCAAGTGCCCTAGAGAGCAACGATGTAACCTTGGCCCAACAAGTGATGTGGGTGCTCAATAATGTTGCTTCTTCTGTTGGTGACCCTAACCAAAGGTTGACCTCATGGATCTTGAGGGCATTGATTTCAAGAGCCTCCAAGGTTTGCCCTACACCTATGAATTTCAATGGAAGCACCAGTAGTAGTACAATCCCAACTAGGTTGATGTCGGTGACCGAGCTAGCCGGGTATGTTGATCTAATCCCATGGCATCGTTTTGGATATTGTGCATCAAATAGTGCAATTTTTAAGGCAATTCAAGGGTGCCCAAAAGTCCATATCTTAGATTTTAGCATCACTCATTGTATGCAATGGCCTACTTTAATAGATGCATTGGCCAAAAGGCCTGAGGGGCCTCCTAATTTGCTTAGAGTCACTGTTCCCAATTGGAGGCCACAAGTTCCTCCTTTGCTCAATGTGTCAAGTGAAGAAGTTGGTCTTCGTTTGGGGAATTTCTCTAGGTTTAAAGACGTCCCTTTTGAATTCAACGTGATTGAAAACTCATCTTCTTTGGAATTTCTATTGAGTACTCAATTAAACCCTTCTTCCCTAGACCTCCGGGATGATGAGGTTTTGGTTGTAAATTGTCAAAATTGGTTGCGCTATCTCTCCGATGAGCCGCGTTGCGGTAGCCCGGGCCATCAAGATGGCTCTATGCGCAACACTTTCCTTAACATGGTTAGATCCCTTAACCCTAGGATCATAGTTGTGGTGGATGAAGATTCTGATCTTAGTGCCCCAAGTCTTAGCTCAAGAATAACCACTTGCTTTAATTACATGTGGATACCCTTTGACTCTTTGGAGACTTTCTTGCCCAAAGACAGCACCCAAAGGATGGATTATGAATCTGATGTTGGTCACAAAATTGAAAACATTATTGGGTTTGAAGGGCACCAAAGAATAGAGAGGTTAGAGACAGGCGTTGCAATGTCACAAAGAATAAGGAACGTTGGTTTGTTAAGCGCCCCGTTTTGTGAAGAGACTGTTAAGGAAGTGAAGGGCTTGCTGGATGAACATGCTAGTGGTTGGGGCATGAAGCGTGAAGAAGATATGTTGGTGCTCACTTGGAAAGGGCACAACTCAGTTTTTGCCACAGCTTGGGTTGCAAATGGGCCAAATCCAAATGGGTTGGTTTAATGGAGGTTTAATTAAAAAAAAAAAAAAAAAAAAAAGTAAAAAAAAAAGCAAAGTGAAAGTTATGAATTTGGACCTACCATATTGGGATTTGGGGGAGTGGTCCAGGTGATCGAGAGGCAATGACAAAAGCTTATGTCCTTGATTTTTTCTCTTCGTCAAAAAGCTGCAAATGAGCACAAGACAAAAAGGAAAACGGCAGGCACTTTGTATTGAAGCTATAGCTGCTGTGATCCGTCACATGAAAGGCAAGAAGGAGGAGAGAGAGTGCGAATGGACATATTGTTGTCTGCTGTTTGTATGGGACAAAGTCTAGTACTTTAATGTTTTTCCCATCTGTACGTACGTGCAGGCTTTTGTTCCATGATCAGTTCTGTGAAATTTAACTTTTGTTTAGCCCCTTTCTTTAATCATAGGAGTAACTATTCCCTTAATAATTTCTTGTTTTGGTAACAGTTTAAGTGACAATATGTACGAGTGGAAGCTTGAAAGCTACTTCTTTTTCTCACGCAAATTAGTAACTAGGCTTTTGTTCCATCAGATCAACTTATCTGTTGAAGGCATCTTTAAAGACATGGATGTATATATTTGCTATGTTTCGGATTGTGTTTTATTCTTGGCCCAACCTTAGAGCTTGAATTTTAGGGTAAATCTAGGAACAGAAACATGCATGCACGCATACCAACGAAAGAGTGTATCAAAACAAGGCCCGCACTGCCATTAATTTCATGAGTTGTCATTTTCTTCTTTTGTTCTTTTGTGAATTCTCGCTAAGGCTCGGACTTATGATCTTTTTTAGGAGAGCAATTGCTCCGAACGACTATACTAATCATAATCTTTTTCTTGATTGTGGTAATTATTGTTTTGTCTCAATTTAATCCTTTAATTTGTAATTAGTTTCTCAGTTAATTGCAGCAACTTCAATGAAGTTTCTAGTATGAACAAACTAAGTTTGGCCATTGGAAAAAAAGAAAAGAAAAAATAATCGATTAATTGGTCACGTTTGAATCACTGGGGTCTTTAGCACAATTTTGAGAATCATTAATTCTCATTTCATAGTAGATGAGTAAACCTTGAATACGAAATAACAACTCTCATAATAAGCACGTCCACCTCTTTTTTCATAACTTGTAGATTCAAAGCACTTCTTACGACTATATTGATAGCAAGATCTCCAGTGCATTGAACTTCACGGTATGTTACATCTCTGTTTGGTACACCAACTTACAACTCTCCAGAAACATATGAACGAGGATTTGCAGGTGCCATTTTACATAAGTAATAAGTTGGTCAACAATTCATTATTTCTTGCATGATGCAAAAATGAGAAGAATTAATCATAAGTTGGTCAACAATTCATTATTTCTTATGTCCCACGTAAGGAGATCCAAAGGTAGTGTAGAGAAAAACAAAGAAAAACAAAAAAACTAATACTAAAACAGATTGACAGTTTACATGTTCAATAGAATTAAACTTGCATTCAATTTAAACAAACACACAACACACATGTATATTTGACAATCAATACTATCTCAATTCTAACATGACATTTTATACAAAACTCCTTAGAAAACATATTTGCAGAAGAAAAAAAAACCCGTTAATTAGCCACTTGTCATGTTCTAATTGGTTCTTAGGGTATACCAATTTTTTTACTTGAAATTAACATGTAGTTACCAATGAGATGTTAGTTGGATTGATCCAGGTCTTTGGTGTGCTCTTAAGTGGTCGTGAGTTCAAATCCCCATTATACTCTTTTACCACTCGTCATTTTTAGTAAGACGATGCAAAAGTGAAAGCTTGAAAGCAATAACTCGATCAATAGCTAGTTCTTTTTCTTACTCAAATTATTAACTAGGCTTTTGTTCCACAAGATCAACTTATATGTTAAAGGCGACCATGGGTGTATATAATATATATTGCGGTGTTTTATTCTTGGTCCACCAAACCTTATGGGTAAATCTAGCAAAGAGAAACATGCCTGCACTGTGCACTGTGCACTGTGCACTGACCAAGGAAATAGTGTATCAAAGTTGAAGTATGAAAAAGTTAAATATATAACAAGGACCACATTGCCTTTAATTTCATGAGTTGTCATCTTTTTCTTGATCGTGGTAATTATTGTTTTGTCTCAAATATTAAGCCTTTAAGTTGTAATTAGTTTCTCAGTTAATTGCAGGACTTCAAGGGAGTTTCTAGCATGAACAAAATAAGTTTGGCCATTGAAAAAAAAAATATGATTAAATGGTCACGTGCTGGACTTTGAATCACTGGGTCCTTGCTTGTATAATTTCCGGTGCATGTGTTTTTAAAACGACGAAAAATATATAAAATAAATTGAAAAAGAAATCCGACCTGCCGGATTCGAACCAGCGACCTAAGGATGGCTGAGAGCACATAACCCACTACAGTCCTCCGCTCTACCAACTGAGCTAAGGTCGGATTGTTGGTACTGACCTTGTCAGATATCTATATGAAACGTAATATTTATTTAGCTGGTTCTTACTTTAAGAAAAAGCCCAGGATCGAGTAGAATGCAATGCGAATAGTTTGGGCTCAAGTGAAACCTAAAATAAGTCTGGGCTTAAGCTAATAAGCTTGGGCTGTATTGATCCTACAACATGAGTGTAAATATTTCCTTTTGGGGTCAGCTACAACATGAGTTTAATAAAGTTGTAACTTGTGATGTGGTGGACAGAGCATAACACACACACAACAAAGTTGTAATGTTGAAAGACGCAATTTTATGAGATGAACAATGCCCATTCATCTCTTAACCTTTAAAAAAAAAAAAAAAAAAAAAAAAAAAAAAAAAAAATTAATTTTATTATTATTATTAAGAACAACAAAAAAATAATTCAAATAATAAAAATAGTAAATGCAAGGGATGTACAAGAAGAACACACTCCAAATGGAGGTTCTTGCATTCAATAAATCGGGAACATTAAATTCAGCAAGATAGTGAGTAATAAATATTACAAAATTAAGCCCAGCTCACTCAAAGTTAACATATAAAGGATCAAGAAGACTCTTTATAGCACCAGTGCGACATAGAGAATATGAGAATAATTGATTCTGCATGAACAGGGAACCAGAAACACCAAAAGTGAAAGGGCCTTAACGCTCAACATCCATTTGGCCAAAGAAGACCACAACACCTCCAGCATCCCACATGATCTCACAACACCACATATGAAAGATCCATCAAGATGTAACAACTCTACCTCATCAAGATAAAGGATCTTTAAAAGCCAATCTAAAAGGACTGGGGAGAAACAAAATCCAGCAAAAAACTGAAAAGAAGCAAAACCTAACATAAAACTAGGGAGGAAAATCTCTCTACAACATGACAGGGGAGAGAGTTGCCCGATTTATTAGCCAAAGGGGTCCCTAGAACCAAAATGGGTTTGTAGAGAAGAGAGACCAAGAAGAAAGGAAAAGAAGAGAGAAGAAGGGTTGAGAGAAAAGGAGAGAGTATTATCTCTCTTAACTTTTTACTCTCAACTTATAAAGCATCTTTATATATGAAAAATACGAGAAATACTTAAGAGTTATCTCAACTCTTACGTAACATATGTCCTTAAATCTAAATAAAACCAAAGTAGAAGTCATTCTATATGAAATAGTTAATGTGTCACATCAATTGTGTGTACCATATTGTTGTGTTTTCAAATAACGCGTCACATGAATTAGGTAAAAAAGTAATGGAGATAAAAGTTGTGATGTACTTGTGTTGCATTTTCCCTGTAACATTGTAGAAGGAAATCACAAATGGGTCGTGAGAAGAAATGAGGGAACCAATTGTCTGGCAAAGAGTCGGATCTTTTGGTGGGACCCACGTAACAGAAGTGGGGTCCTCCAAAGCCACGGCCTAATAGCAAACGTCCAAATAGTACTCAACCAAAGAAACAAAATAAATAATTGAAAAGAAAATCTGAGATCGTCTAGATGGGCATTTCGGTCAATGTAACAATCCTTGCCAGAGAGGGAAGAAATAAATAAAGTAGTGGATAGGGGAGGGGAAGGCAATGGGTGCACTGCCGACATACAGAGACTTGCAGCGATGAACGTGGAACAACCAACCAAACAAAGGCAGGGAAAGCCAGCAACAAAGCTTCACTTCCAAGCTTTAAAATGGTCTCCCTCCCAAGAATATCACACATTAATATTATTATTATTCACTAATATACTTTTGGGGTTTTCATAATTAATTTTCTAAGCTTAGATGTATTTTCTCTGGGAATGTCAGAATGTGGCCAGTGGCCTAAATATATAGTACTAGTAACACACACTTCAACTGCTCTCTCTCTCTCTCTCTCTCTCTCTCTCTGGGGTTCATAGTCAAGTATTATATATCATACTTTTCTTTGTTTAATTCCCAGTTCTCACTCTTTAGAGGCTTGTCCTCTATATCCCAGTTGAAAACCACATTGCTTCTGCTTGAACCAATAGTGTCAATTTGCATTAACCAAAGTCCTTAACCTCTTTCCCTTTGTCTTCTTTCCCATTTCAGAATATGGATTTGTGTCCTCTACTTCCTCCTCTCTACTCCCCATTTGGCCTCCTCAGCTCTCTGTCTTCGTTGCACCGTTAAAAATTACTTCTTTTGCTTTTCTGATTGCAGTTATCAAAAAAGGACTCTTGATTTGAAGTGGGTTTTTCTTTATTTTTGGTTTTTTAATCATTTGGGTAATGGAGGTTCATTGTGATCTTGAAGTTGATGTCAATGGGGAAGAGTCTTTCATAGTGGACAAGGTAATTCTGTACTTGCAAGTAGTAGCAACCTCATTTCTTTTTCTTCTGTCCAAATGGTGATCTTATCCCACCATTTCTTTCTGTTTAATTTTGTTTACTCTTCTTGTACTGGAAGTGGATCCTCCTCTCTGTATTGTCAGTTCATTAAATCATGGCAGCAGGTCTGAGAGACTGAGATCCTTTATTACTTGCCAATAATTGGTTCTCTCTCTCTCTCTCTCATATTGTAATAGAGTCTTGTGCTTTAATTGTGAAGTTTTACTGATTATCTTTCTACATTTCGTGCATGCTCTGGTAATTTTTCTTTGGTTGCTTTCCATGTCCTCCGTCGTGACTGATGAATTAGAAAGATTTTTCCTTTTCCGTCCACCAATTTAATTCACACCTAATTTGCATTGATGTGGGTCCTGGACTCATGGCTACCTTAGCTTTTGTTCTTCTGTTATGTCTATTTAATTCACAGAATGCACGTTGATCTGCAGGCCTTTTTCTTTTGCTTCATTCTCTCATTTATTGCTGGTGTTTATGGGGCTCTCCCGTTAATACTGCCCATGAAAGTAACCCTTTTGAGATGGACTAAGGGTTACTTTCATGGGCACTTATTACAATTTTCTGCCCTTCTTTGCTGGCTTGATCAGCATACATCTTTTTGGAATTGCCCTTACCACAATTTATTGCTTATAACGACCTCTCTTCATTCTTTGGCAGGTTCTGGTGTAGATTCCCACTTTTTATTTATCTATTTTTTTTTCCCAATTCAATGAGGTCATTCTTTTGGTGGGTTCCTCCTCTCCATTCTGGAATTTGTTGGGGGGGTTCTGTCTTTACAAAATTTCTTCAGTACCTGCAAGTTAGAAGCCTGAATCTTGCATAACATTGTTTTCATTATTTTAGTAGCTCTCTAAGTGACAATGATTGTCTCTTTTGAGCGAAGGAGTATTAATTTTTTAAAAGATGAATGTCCCTTCCTCCTTTAACTCTCTGTTTTCATGATCATTTCTGCAGAAAATTATTGCTTCCTACTCTGGCAAATTGAGCAACTTACTTGGCAAATCAAAAGCTACCTCAAGAAATCTTAAAGTGGTATTGCATGACTTTCCGGGAGGAGCAGAGAGTTTTGAGCTCATTTCAAGGTTCTGCTACAACCATGGCAGCACCGACATAACTCCTTCCAATATTTCCCTCCTATATTGTGCTGCACAGTTCATGGAAATGAACAATTCTGTCACTGGAACACATAATTTATTGGAAAAATCAGAGAAGTCATTTGAAGAGATTAGATTTTGGACATGGTCTGAGCTTTTAATGGCTTTGAAGCAGTGCCAAGATTTACTTCCAGCTGCTAATTCTCTAAGCCTACTCGAGAAATGCTTGGATACCCTTGTTGCAAGATTGCCTTTGACAAGCGAAGCGAGTCCTTGTCCTTCCACTTCATCCCCAGATAGCTCTGGTATTCGGTTTTCATGTGACACTCGAAGCACTGAGAGTTTGAAAACCAGCTCATCTCGGGCAACCTGGTGGTTTGAGGATCTTCTAGTTTTAGGTCCAAATTTGGTTGAAATGCTGGTCAAGTCCATGATTTCTCGAAAACTTGATCATGTTATCATTAGTAGGTTCCTCTTTTATTACCAGAAATCGAAGTTTTACACTGTCAAATCTGATGCCAAGCGCACCTTTGTGGAAACAGTCATTGATATGCTGTATATTCTTGATCAGAGCTGTGTTTCTTGCAAGAGTTTATTTGGGATTCTTCGAGTTGCTCTGAATTTGAATATAAAAAAAAGTAGCAGGAATAAGTTGGAGAGCATGATTGGTTCACAGCTTGATCAAGCAATATTAGACAATTTGCTTGTTCCATCCCCACGCGGGATCAATTACTTGTATGATGTCAATCTTGTTCTAAGGTTATTGAAATCATTTCTGAGTGGAGGAATCTGTCAAGCATCGCCCACGCGATTGAGGAGAGTTGCTGCCTTGGTGGATTTGTATATGGCAGAAGTAGCCCCAGATCCTTGTCTGAAGCCTTCGAAGTTTGTGGCTTTAGCCATGGTCATGCCGGATTCTGCCAGAGACTCCTATGATGAACTTTACCATGCCATGGACTTGTATATAGAGGTATTGCATTTATGTCAAAGAATTTTTTTTAAGCTATCTATTGCATGTATTTTTGCCATGTACATGAGAAAGCATATTGTGGGTTTGATCTGCACTCTACTCTGTTTCATTACCTTTATTCTTGTTAAGTTTTGATCTAGTAGCTTATGATCCGTGCATTCAAATAGGACATTATTAAAAGATCTTAAAACATTGAGACTCTTTTGATTTTGAAGATTATTTGTATGAGGTTGTTTATGCATTGAATCTGCTTGGTCATAGGTGCATGCAGGATTGTCAGAAGAGGAAAAGATGAAAATTTGTTGTGTGTTGAACTATGAGAAGCTCTCATCACAGACTTGCATACACATTTCTCAGAATAAAAAGTTTCCATCAAAAGCAGCAGTCCAAGCTCTCGTCTCTCAGCAATTGAAGCTTAAAAGCTTACTCCATCCAACCAACAATTCTAAGTCCTACGCTGACTCCCCTTGTAGTGCCGCCGAGGTTGGAAATGCGGGAAGGAAATTCGATGCCAATGAACAACTTGTGCTTTACACAGGGAAACTCGATCTCGCAGCTGACAATTTGAAACTTAGAGCACATTTGCAAGGCATGCAGTGCAGGGTAATGGAATTGGAGAAACTGTGCAAGAAATTGCAAACTCAAATGGCAACGTTTAGAAAATCAAGAGTATCAAGCCACAGTCATGCAAGATCTGTGCCCAAACTCTGTTCATGATAGAAGTTGAGCATTTTATTCCATTAGTTTTTAAGTATTATCTCATCTCTGTATAGCGCAAGGAAAGGGGTTTTTGTGTTTGCAACAGATTTTTCTTTCTTTGCTGGATAACTAAAGGTGAAAAGCAAGTTGTTTCACTTGCAAAGATTGAGGAAATCTTTGGTTGTACAGTTACAGAAAGAGAATTTCTGTTGAGTAACTTTTTCTTTTAATGAAATGTTCCTGTTTATTTCATGTAGTGCTCTTGGTACAAGATAGGATTTCAAGGTTAAGTCATTTTCCCCAGTCACTCTCACATTTGGGGCCATTCTGGAATGCAAGCTGGCAAGCATATTTTCTGCATGAATAGGGAAATAAGAGGGTGAATGAAAGCTGAACATATTTGCTTTTCTGTTTCTTCAACCATCCATCATCATCATCATCATCACCACATGGTAATTTATCTACAAATAGATTCTAGAAGATTAAAATACTACTGTCATATATCATATGGTTTCAATTACCAGTCAACTAATGAAACAAAGAACAATAGTTACTTACTGTTAAAGATATAAAAAGTCAAGTGTAGTTGTTGTTGACTTGCCACAAAAAAAAACAGTAAAAGTACATAATTTGATAAAATGGTCCACTTACTGACATGAACAACACTCTGTTCTCCTTAGATTCCTGAACATGGCTGTATAATATAGTTTTCTTTTTAGGTAGTGGATTGTGTCACCTAACTTATTGCCAAGTTGCCAACATTTCATGGGATTACAAGTTTAAAAACACTGAAAGTAAAACAAGAATGTGAGTGAGTGAGAAAACTGATGCCTAGGTAACAAAATGAACCCTAACAGTCAGCAATGTGATTCAAAACCAGGCATTCTCTGCAATTGTGAACTAATTAAGAGGCACAGATTCCCAATTATAATTTGGTTGAGGACAGAATTTTGGTATTTTCTGGATCACTATTAATATTGCAGAGACTTGCAGTGAATTGGTCTTCAAAGAATTACTTTACCGTGTTTGGGAAAGTCAATAACCTACTCGCTTGTGAGTACTTTTAAGTTTAATTTAAAAATCTTGTAGTCCAAGGATGAAAATCTAACTACTCCACCAATATGACAGAGTTTGGCTTCCGATTTGAGTTAACTTAGACTAAGTCCTCCTCCATTTACATAACGTAATATGAAGGATCACTATTTACATGGACCAGAATTGTGTGTGGATGACTCAAATGCTATAGGTTGGTTTTCCGGGTCAAACCTAATTCTTGGTGAAACCAAGATGATATCATATGAATGAAGAGACAGAATCCCACGAAAGCCTTTTCCTTAGACGCCACTTTTCTTGTACTAATTCCTAGGTCTTACTTTATTCTTAATTATGAACAACCACAGATTATAATATAAACCTAAGCAAACAGAACATACCACATCCATCAAGTACGAGCATTTCGATGAGGAAATGACTTTTTCAACGTTGTTACTTGTTAATCTGTCACTGGTATTTATAGTTTCCTAGTTTGAATATTTGAATGGCAAATGGCATTGCCACGTACATAGAGAGAGACCTTTCTTTCATGGAAGCAACATGTTTCGTGGCTTTGCCTTGTCCATCTTCATTCCCTTTTTCTTTAATATAATAAACCCTGAACCAATTCAAACGAACCTCTCAAGAAAATAAGAAACCAAAGGAATCCTAAACAAAACTCCTCTTTTTTCTTTTTGCTTCCTTGAACGAGAAGTAGCACGAACTTCATAAGACATCACCAATTGAATAGAAATTAGCTACAAGTTAAAAATGAGAAAAGAGAAAGATGGAGAGTAGTTATTATTTAACTAAGTAAAAAATGAAAAGATTGAATACTTGGGTTGGGTTTTACCGTCCAAGTAAAGTATAGTGGAAAAATGAGTTACAATTGTGATTTATGTTGCACGGACACGTCTTGGACACTCGGACACGGTCAATGAACTTGGGACACTATTATCGTATGAATTTCACTTCTTTTTTTTAAATCTTATTAAATGTGGGCCAAATGCCCAGCAATGACATATCAATCGGGCCTTACATATTTTATCTTTTTTAAAATTTAAAAAAAAAAAAAAAAAAAAAAAAAAAAAAAAAAAAACAATTGACAGGACTTAGGCACAAGAAACGAAAAAATGAATTCAATTGATAAAACTAGTTACCAAAGACTTGGTGTGAACCAGATGGGTCGACTGTGAAGTAAAGCAGGAGTATTGGACAAACTTAGAGGTGTAAGGCTTCCGTTTGTCATGGAAAACACTCCAAAATCGTGGGCAGCCGATAGTGATGATAAACAAGGATAATCGAAAGCAAAATAGATGCAGTTTCTTCCGAGTGTCTTATCATTATTAAGGATGCAGCCACTATATCTATGCATAAATATGTTGGTCGTCTCGCTTATAAACAATATTCGATCACCTAGGTTAAAAACTTGTACCCATCGAGGAGGACCACCACCATGAATGTCATGCTCCAACTTGAAAACTCGAAATCCCTTAGTCTTAGGTGGATTGATGTAACTGCCATCTAACAAATGAAGTTCTTCATCTTCATCATCTTCATCATCTTCTTCACCCATTAAAGAAAAGTTAGTCCTACGAAGAATCATAAACAACTCCCTTGACGTAGAATCTGTTGCTAGCTGCATGTCTTCAAAGTCGGTGACATGCAGGGCACTATCATCCATTCTCCAGATATTGTAGAACATGAAAGGAATCGGCATAACCAGTTTTTGAGCCCTATAGCTAGGATGACCATCGGCATCTGGGATGATGTAAAACACCGTTAAAACCTCGGGTTCATCCTCATCAGTTGCAGCATATAACTTCCCACCCATAATTTCTATATCACGAAAATTGAGCCCTTCATCGATGAGTGTCCAGGATTTGTCTGCAGGACTGCAGAAAGCTACATGCCCTGTTGAGCAAAGGCTAGCCACGAAACAATGTTGGCTTGTTGGTGATGCGGAGGCAACTACTTTAACAATGGGGAAGGAAGGTCCATTGTTGCACCCACATGGAAGGTGGGCTAATGGCATAGCTAAGGCTGGGCTTATGGGGTGGGCTAATGGGCTTTCTCTAGTCCTCATTCTTTTTTCCAGCTTTTTGGTAGTTTTATGTTTTTATTTTTCCATCTCTAGTCTATCTGATCCGAGTTCCTATTTCTTTTTTACCATAAAAAGAGTTCATGTTTCTTATTAGATTGTTTGACTTGTTTGAAACGTTCATCAAATATGATAAATCATGTTCGATTACGCGGTTCTAAAATTCAAAAATTCAGTGCAACAACGTTATATGTTTGGTAAAAAGAAAATTAGAATTGGAGGGTACAAACTTTTTTAAGTTAAACTCGTAATTTGCCCTCTAAATTTATACCGCATTTTCAATTTACACCGTGTTTTTCGAAAAAAATAATAATAATAAGAATACAAACATTTTTTAAGTTATTGGCCCCATCGTCAAAATGCTTTATCAATTCATCCAACAACGTAATTCAGTGCAACAACGTAATATATTTGGTGAAAAAAAATTGGAAATTAAGGACTCAAATAAATTGTTTCTGCACGATCGTTGATTTATTTATTTATTTCATTTGAAATATTGGATTATGTGGATTATTGTTTTTTTGGCTACTGGATTAAGAGGTCTTTAGTCTCCAGCTAAGGCAGCCTGGTAAGTAGTGGTAAAGTTTTCTTTTTCTTATCAAATTAAAAAGGAGGAGGTTTCCTACTTGATTCAGGTTTATATATAGGTAGTTTTCTTTTTCATATTAAATTAAAAAAAGTAAGAGGTTTACTACTTTATATAGGTTTTACAAAAAGACTGTCCATTGGGAGATTGGATATGATACACGTTTCATAGTTGTATTACTACTCTTTAGGCCAGCAACAAGCCAAGAGATTAGCCAGGGATCTCTCTATTTCTTATAAATTGACGCTCTGCTTATGAGACATTGTAGGTTTTTCGATTATGAGTCTCACTAGGATGGATCGGATGGATTGGTTGTGGCTGTTTTTAGATTATTTGAGATCAGTAGTGTTTGGTACTATTATTTGAGATCAAAAGAAAAATTAGAAATAAATAAAAAATAAAATAAGGGAATAACGATAGTATATTATTGATATGAGGATAAACAACTAGTAAAAAAAATTGAGTTATGTCATCCGTACTTAGGCGAGTTTCTATATACATGCGGGCTCAGTCGTCAATTTAACTAGGTAGCTTTACCCGCTCAACCGCAAACCACTGATAGAGTACATGTGGCGAGTTTCTATATACATGCGTTGCCACTGGTAGAGTACCCTCCCGTCCCCCTAAGAACATGCCCGTAAAAATTACTTGTTACATCCAATTTCCTGTTAAAAATTGCAATGTGGAGGATTTTGACAGTAGGAGGACATTAGCTTTAAAAAAAAGTTTGTATCCTCAATTTATTTAATTAAAAAAAATTAGGGGCCAAAATATGAAAGAATAAATATATTATATATATATATATATATATATACAACCAAACAAATTAAATAAACTATGATTGCTTCGCTTTGATGTTTTCAAATTTAGCTTCTTCTTCTTTTTTTTTGTCAAAATTTATTTATTTATTTTTCGCATATTCCTTGAAAAATAAGCTAAAAATGAATGATTTTGACAATTAATTTACAACCCAGAAATAAGATGGGCCTATTTTCCAAGAATTTTAAAGTGGCATGGATTTTTAATCTATACCCACTACTTAGAAGTTATATAGCTGGTTCTCATTCAGTACCAAATTATATTATCTGCATTGATGAACCTTACGTGTGTGTATACTTAATTTGCTACATTAATAGTGATGCTATTTAGGCGGTGGTGGGTGCTTTTGGCGTTATTTGATTGGCCAAAAAAGAGTTTCTTGTGGGTCTGCTTGCAGCGTATCCTTCAGAAAATTTTCTTTTTTCCGTAACCCTCACCTCACCTCTCGCACGCGACTCTCTCTTTAACTCAGTCTCTTCCTCTTCTCTTCTGTTTTCATTTCATTTTTTTTCTCTTTTTGACCTAAGGGCTGTGGCGGCGCCTCTCTCTCCCGATCTCACCTCAGAAATTTTGGTGACAGCATCTGTGTCGCTCCTTCATCGCTCTCACGATCTCTCGTCTGCCAGGTATCATCCCTTCTCTCTCTCTCTCTCTCTCTCTCTCTCTCTCTCTCCTCAAACTTGTTTTGTCATGCTCTGTGCTCCTTTATTTGTTCCTCTTGGTAGTCTGCTTTCCTACCCATTTTATTAATTCTGCTTTGTTTTGTTTCCTAGTCATGAATTTGAGATGGGTTCTTCTTTTTCAGCTCAATTTTTCAAAAGAAAAAATGGGCACTTTCCTTTTCATCTGTTATTTCTGAAGGTTGTGATTCAATGAATATTAACAGAATACAAAACCAAAAGAGCGAAACTTGTGATCTTCTGTAAAGCTGTGCACACAATAGTTTGGAAAAGTGGAGAACTTGAATGCTGAATTAATTGATTAGTCAAGCTAAGTAAAAAAAAAAAAAGAATTGACTATCCCACTGTATTTTACTTATAATTTTACCAATTGAATCCCTTGTCATAGATGCCTAGATGGGGGCAGTGGTAAAGGAAAGTTGAGACTAGCATATTTGGTACAGGATGTGTAAGATAAGTGGGAGTACTGATTGGATCGTATATATACAGGACTTTTGATGATGGATTTCCAAACATTTTTATAAACAACGCACAAGACCTTCGAGTACCCATTGGTTGATCTGTAGGGAAAAATAAAAAAAACGGCATCTTTTTATTTTAACTTTGAAAAAGTATGGATATTTGACAAAAGTGAAGATTACTGCTCAGTGGGACTGATATTTGATGCGTGCTTTTTAAAACACTGTATAAACCCTATGCTATTTCTAATTTTTCTTCAATCCAAATCAATGGTATGTTGTTTTTAACTTTATATGTGCGTCTTTGTGGTAAGGACTTGGATAAAAGTCTGTTGTGACTACAATGTGGTGGCGATTATGGATGAATCTGACTCAGTGCTAGCGGTGGTGAGTTCTGAAAATTTGCTTGCTTGATGTTCATGAGATATTGGTTCTAAAATATGTTTGATGTTAATGAGATATTGGTTCTGACATTTTTGTGTGGTTATAGATAGACTTGCTGCTGTTTTGGTGGGATTGATATTTGATGCTTCATTTTGTATTTGGTTGATTAAATATTGATGGAAATAAAAATTTAACATCTTGAAGTATTGGGGTTTGGCTTAGTTTTTAATTCCAGTGATTTTTTTTTTTGGCTTAATCTTTAATGGGTTATGTGATTCTTTTCTGTTTCTGGTATAAACTTTGATCAAAATCAGGCTTTTTATTTTATTTGAATTTTTTGTTGTCATTTTTGGTTTAATTCATATGATATGGTTCATGTTTATTCTTTTGGGTTAAGGTTTATTAAGGGTTTAGTTCTTTGATAATTTCTCTCGTGTGGTTTAATCTGACATGAGTTCATGGGTAATGTTCATGCATATGGAGGATGATGAAGAAGAGGAACCATAATCATTCTCTGAACTATGTGGCTAAAGCTTTTCAGTTAGGGGGTTTTTAATATGTGGCTAATCCTTCGGTTGAGTTTTTCTTTGTTTGCTCGGGTTCCATATTCTTTCTTTTTGGCCATGAATTTTTATTTGTTTGGTTGCTGGGAAGTGTTCTTCTATCTTCAATATTAATAGAATTAGAGTTACTGATCTATTTGCATTAAATATGTATCAGTGGTTGCATTTTTAACTGATACAAGTGTATTTTTTTGCAGCTCCCTTATACACGTGAATTTGTTTGGTAAGTGATAATATGCCATTAGTATCATTTGTTCAAACCTGCAGCTCCTTTATTTGTATTTTTTTTCATGGGTTGTAAAATATAATTTGCTGCTTTACTTATATTTTTTGTCATGGGATGTAAAATATAATTTGGTGCTTTGCTTGTATTTTTTGTCATGGGATGTAAGAACCAACTAATTTGATAGTTGGATGATGCTTGTGATTGTGACTCGAAACTTAAAAAAAACAGGTTATAGATGGGTTGAATAATTCAGGTTATATTTGGGCTTTGGTTTGCTAAAAAAAATTTGATTTGGGCTTTTTTTGGCCGAAAATAAATAAGATTTGGGCTTTTGAAAATGATAAAAATTGGCTCAAGCCCAAACCCAATCAGAACCTTAGAACCGACCCGAGAACCGAGCCCATTTCCGGTTTGGCCTATTTTCGGGTTTCACCCTAGACCCGACCCAAGACCCGAGCTTTCCTTCGGTTTGGCTCACGGGTCAGCTAAAATTTGACCCGACCCGAACCGTGCCCAGGCCTAGCTTTAGCTAAACCTTTGCCCACCTCCGCCAGACTTAGCACAAAACAAAACAGCACAGCTCCAGTCTTCCCTTCCTAATTTTCTCCCTTCTTCTTCTTCTTCATCTTCTTCAGTCGAGTGGAGGGAACGTCGTCACTGAGTCAGTCAATATTGCCGTCAGTAAGTCATCTTTCTTTTCCCTCGAATTTTTAGTCGATTTGTTTGTTTTCTTTTATTACTGAGTCTTTTTTTCTATAATTAAAATGATTGGGTTGTGATCGATATGAGTTATAGTTGCTCTTATCTTAATGGAATGATTTTTGTCTCTGATTGTGAACCAGCAAAAGAAAATATTGAGAACCCAGTAAAGTGCGGTAGTTTTCCTTCTGCTATGCTCACACCTCACATTGTATATAAAACTTGTCATAACTATAATAGCAGATGCTGATACATAGTTCCAGATTAATGATTTCATTTGATATATTTGTCATCTGTGCTTGAGATAGTTTTGAATTTACTGGTTAGTCTTCTTTTTGAGAGCCACAAACACCTATCTTGCACACATTACAATAGCTATGCCTAATTTTGGAAATGTGCACAGATGGGGGAGCTGGCAAGTCAGAAACATGTTCAGTTCATTGTATCAGTCGAAAAGGTCTGACTTTAATTCGAATCCATTTGTTATGCTTTTGCTTTATACCTAATTGTAATAAGATGGTGAAACTGTGCTCAGAAGAAGGATTCTTTTGAGTCAGTGGTGATGGAGCATATAAGAATGAATGGGGCATACTGGGGTTTGACTGCTCTTGATCTTCTTGGGAAGCTGCACGTCGTGGATGTCGGGGAGGTTGTTTCCTGGGTCCTCCAGTGCCGACATGACTCAGGTTTGTACTTTGCGTAAATTCTTAGCCAGCCCAACATCACTAAACTGTTATTTTGATCTTCATTGTTTGTATGGTGATTTTGAGTTGTAGAGAGAATGATGATACAGCTTTGTTTATTCAGGTGGGTTTGGTGGTAACATTGGGCATGACCCACATGTACTATATACCTTAAGTGCTGTGCAGGTTTTGGCCTTGTTCGACAAGCTTGATGTTCTGGATATTGAAAAGGTTGCAAGTTGTATCCTTTAGCATATCTTTTTGTAAATTGAAATAAATCTTTACCACTTACATATATTTTTTCCATTGGTTAATGGCATTCAAAATAGTTGTTATGCCTTGTGTTGAGAGGCTGCTTATAGCTTCCTAAAATGAGATGTAGACAGAGACAGGCACCTACAAAATTAGACAAATAAATATGTAAAGAAGATTGAATTTAAGAAAATTTGTGCAACTTAATATAAAACTCAGATGTGGCGGGGCTGCAGAATGAAGATGGATCATTTTCAGGGGACATGTGGGGTGAAATTGATACACGGTAGTCTTTTTTAATTTCCTCTACTTTTGGAATTTTATGATTTGTTGAAGTTGCCATCTCTTTATGTAGAACATGAACAAGTAACAAATTCTTTGCTGTTTCTTATAAAAGAAATTAACAAAACAGTAACACTTTGTTTTGATTTTAGGTTTTCTTATATTGCTATCTCTTGTCTCTCATTACTACATCGTTTGGATAAAATCAACGTGGAGAAGGCCGTGAACTACATTTTAAGTTGTAAGAATCATGATGGCGGATTTGGATGCACACCTGGTGCAGAGTCTCATGCAGGTCAAAGTAAGTTATTTACCCTATAGTTTCTCTAGGATGTTTAATTTCTGATTAGTGCCTAATAAATCAGTTTTTTTATACCTCCATTTTTAGAATTTTTTCCCCCTGTATTTTGCTTGTTAAACGAAGTCTGTATAGGTTTTGTTCAGAGAATCATGTTTACTTCAGATTCAGTTGTATTTTGATGGAAACTCAATAGATCATCGAAGCTGTTTCCTTTTTGTCCTTTCAACGGATGTTAGCAGTTACTCTTGCATTTTTCATCACCTAGTTAAGTTTTAAGCTAAGGCTGTCATTATTTTTTTCTTTTTCACTGAAGGTTTTAGCTAAGGTCATGTGACACATCTCTTTTTACATCATTCCAACTGCCAAATCTAGTGAAGTATCCTTAATCTTGCTTAATCCACATGCCTGATCCAGAAATGGCATAATTCAGTTGTATTATTTGTACGTCAAAATTAGACTAAAAACTACAGCTTTACTCTGCACATTGTGACTGCAGTTTTCTGTTGTGTGGGTGCTCTTGCCATCACGGGGTCACTACATCATATTGACAAGGACCTTCTTGGATGGTGGCTATGTGAGCGGCAAGATAACAAAACTGGAGGTCTTAATGGTCGACCAGAGAAACTTCCTGATGTAGGGTTTTTTTTCTTTGAAATTGAAAATGAATTTGTTTCTGTTAACATTCTTGGACTCTTTCTTATGGCATTATTTGTTCATTTTAGGTCTGCTACTCATGGTGGGCTCTTTCTAGTTTGATCATGATTGACAGAGTTCATTGGATCAATAAAGACAAGCTTATCAAGTTCATTTTAGACTGCCAGGTTACATTTACCTAACGAGCTATTTGTACATTTAGATTATCCTTTAGGAGTGGACATTCTCCCTGTTTTCGTATTTCCTGAGTGAAATTCCAATCATGTAACTATGGATTTATCTGAGATGCTTTGGCTAATTATTGAAAATTGCAGGACATTGAAAATGGAGGAATTTCTGACAGACCAGATGATGCTGTTGATGTTTACCACACTTACTTTGGTGTAGCTGGTATAATTACTTTGCCTCTGCTTTGTTTGTTTTCCAAATTTCTTCACATAATAATTTGGCATGTTGAAACCTTTCTGGTTAGAGATTCTGAGTTTCCATCTTGGTTCACAAGGGTAGCTAGTACCTGCTTATGAACTGCATATAGGGCGAAAATGTTTATATAAGATGATTTGTGTTCTTCGTGTAATTTTCTCTCTACAGTACTCATCACATTACATCTAAAGTTGATGTTTATTGATGCAGGACTCTCCCTTCTGGAATATCCAGGGTTGAAAGCCATGGATCCAGCATACGCTTTGCCGGTTGATGTTGTAAATAGGATTATTTTAGGCAGATAAAGGCTTTGTTTGCAGCACTCTGATTTGGTTGAGCTTGCTGCAATTTGACACTTTTGTGGTTCTCTAATAGGTCACAACTCTCAACACCTTACTGATATGTAGAATATACGTTTTTCACTTTGGATGATCCATAGACATTCCAGTGGTAGTTGGATGTAATGAGTAAATTAAGTTCACAGCTGTAGCCTGTAGTAGCTACCACCCCACCCCACTCCATGAATGATGGATCTCATTTATGAAGTGTGTTTCGGAGTGTGGGGATTGAACTCTGTCTGGACTTAGAAAATTGTGGTCCCTGTTCTTCAACATTCGATGTCATCCAATTCCAAGTTATCATCTCATTTCCTTTTCTACTTGGTTTCTTTGTAGAAAATAGGTAGATTTGATGACTGAACTTTGATACATATCATGATACATTTTCGTCTAATCTAATTGAAACTTGGTAACATTGGCATACATATATATGTGCCATCAAATCAATCAAGGGAAGAGGCCCTACTATCTTTATTAGCATATGTCAGATTATTTGTCATCTCCGATCTTCGGATATTCGATTTGGAGCGGCTTTTGAAACCCACATTTGATCAATGGTTGGAAATCATCTATCTACGCACATTTGATCTATGATCATACATTATCTAGTCACCGAGAAATTCACCACAAAAATGACCCGAATCACATAAAACAAGTATCACATCGCATCTCAGTCGCGAAATGGTAAATAACAAAAGCCAAAATGTCTTTAATTGCATCCAGGTTGTGTTGCCACTTGCAATTTGCAAACAATACGATTATGAGAGAGAGAGAGGGAGGGGGAGAGAGAGAGAGCTAAGCTAATGTTTGTTTGCATGTGACCTCGTGTGACAAGATTCACGATTTGAGCATCAAATTCTTCAACGTGCATGATACATATTACATATATATTATAAAGTATACTATCACATGTGAGTTTGTGGGATCGATTTGGCTCTCTTCATTTCATTGGAGATTTCCAATGAAAACAGCCGTCACCTCCACCCAATCCCATCCCCTTCACCCAATCCCATCCCAGCCGACCTCAGTATTTCAAACACAATTCACGTGCCCACTTTGCCTCCGCCCTCATTCCTGTGGAAGCTAGACTCGGAGAAGCCTCAGATTCTAATCAATCAACGAGACACACGTCAGCATTCCTCAAACATTAGCCTTACGTGTACGGATGTGATTGCCAGAACTTTAGGCCAAGTGGGGGTTGGATTGGGATTTAACATAATAAAATAGGCCAAGTTGGGTTTGGGTTGGGTTGGGATTGAATACAATAAAATAGGGTATTTGTTGGAAAAAGAAAAGAAAGAGTGAGAGTTTTGAGAGTGTGTGTGGGATTAAAAGGCGTCATGACCGAAAAGACATGTTCATGCCAACATGCGTGCACTCTACCTCCCTCTGTCCTAGTTTAATCTGACACGTGATTTTAAATATTTCACTGTTTCATTTTATTTTATTTATTCATTTTCTTTGTTAAGAAATATAAATTGAGTGTAACCCAACTTACAGTTTGATGTGAATCAATGTGGGCACAAATAAATTGGGAGCTTTGGTGAGGTTGCAAGTGAAATTGTACACGTACAACTGCTTTCCCAGTAATGGTCATGTTGCCTCATAACCCTATAGATATAGGCCTGGAACCCCTTTCTTTGCAAGAAACCATCAATGCAATTACACTTGCTCACCTACTATATTTTTTGCATAATTCATTTACTCAAAAATAAAGAAGAATATGTTGTCATCACTCGTTATCGAATTTTAAGAATTCCTCACTTCCTTCTCTCATTCAAAACCATGCATAAACTTTCATTTTGCACGAATCCTAAGTGATAAAAGAAAGAAGAACTAATTTTTTTCTTTTTTATGATTGCCTTCCTGTCGTATGTATAAGATTGAATCCATTCAATTACGAATCATTAACTTTTCGAAGAATCCATAATTAATTCTTATCACAGATATAACATCTTCATCACTCATGTAAATCCAACCTAACACCTTCTTTAACCGAGTCAAGACAAATCTGGCTGCACCAAATGCAATAATTTCTTATAGAAATCCAGATTTTTTTCAACTCATTATTATTGCCAAAAAAGTACAAAATTCTTTACCATTTTCTTTTATTTTTTGGGTGGTGAATTCTTTGGTCCCAGTCCCATCCAATTGAACGCTGCGGGCCAGCGGCCCTGCCAAGTAATTCAACGGCTGTGTAGTACAATGTCTACAAAATATCTCTTGCCATGTGGATCTATGCCATTGGATGATCATAAGCTTTTTCTTTTGCTTTTTTTATATTATCAGAAGCTTTTCCTAAGGCTGTAGACCAATATCCTAAAGCATAATTGCAATAATTTGTTTTTATATAATATACTAGCCTCTTCTGCAAGTGTTTCTGCGTTTGCAATAGACTTTTTTTTTATAAAAAATTTAAATTTATTTTACAATTAAAAAAGATAATGGGTAGTTATGTTCTATAAAAATAAGATTCATTATCTATTTTTTCTTAATTTTAATTCTTTAATATAAAAAAGTGTAAATTTACCATATTATCCTTTGATATTTTGAATATTTTATGTCTTTTGCTGTATATATATAGATTATACGATGAACAAATACACTGTTACACTGTAAAAGGTTGAATTTATTTTGTATACCAGATACAGTAATAAATAAACTGAACAAAAAAATAAAATACTATATTTAATTTAATATATATATCAATGGTGGACAGCTTCTCTTGCCTCAACCAATCCATAACAGGGATTTACAAAAAACAAAATTATATTCCACATCAATATATTTAATTGAGTCAACTACTACTCATTTAATCAAATCCGACATTGCTTTTCCATGATGTGGAATACAAATGCTGCCAATGTTTCAAGGTAGGGATTAAAAAAGGCAGCCCATATTTAAGGACAATCCAATTGCATTTTGGTTTACAAATACTGTAATTAACCATTTATAACCATAACGCGACATATTCGTATTGATATAACCCGAATTCTCCATTCAGATGGAAGAATTTCATATTGATGGATTTAGATTACAGGTAAACTTGTTCGTCTAGATTAGTACAATTCATGTATGTCAATCTTTGCACAATAAAAAAATAGAAGATAAATGGATTTCAACTCATTCCTTCCATGTAGTCATTTTCATACTATATTACCTCCCATCTAATGCGGTTCTTATCTTCATCGCAAATTCAGGCTTATTCTCAAATCCAAATCATTTCTTTTAAATCCCTCCACTTAAACCGGGCTTAACTTTATATTGAATTCGAATCATGTCATATCTTGCATCAAATTATCACCCATGATCTCATTTTCAATATCCGTACACAATAATGTTCTGACTAAAATAAAAAATAATAATTATAAAATTCTCCAAAATATGGCCCCCATCCCAAGAACCCAGAAAACAAAGGTTTTACTGCCATTATAGCATTGCATAGTGCGATTGTAGTGAGCTGGCACTGTCATCAAAGCAAAACAAAAAACAAAGATAAAGTGAGTAAAAAAAAACTGCTCCATTCCTCTGCTTTTCCTCCAATACCACCAAGAGATGCTTCATTGACAGCTGGCCTCGTCAATGAACCAGCTGGAGTTTCCTACGTGTCGTGGCCTCATTGGAAGATCTGTACCCCTCTTTAGGGCATGGAGATGTCGTACCGAAGGGCAGTAGTGCCCCTCGATAGCCTCACAGCTTTGGCCAGCTAATCAGTGGGAGGGCCTCACAGAGAGCAGAGTAACGGCTACATTTTTAATCTCTTGGGGTGTATTTATCGAAATTTGAAATCATACGTGGCTGGTGACTGGAATTGAGTGACGTGGACAGTGAAATTGGTGAAGGGGCTTGTGAGAGAAGCCAATTCAAACGGGCTATAAAAGGCAGTGTTTTTCGTGTTTCTCTCCGGACTCGGGACTGAGAGCATTTCAGAGTTGAAGAAGAAGAAAACTTCATTCTCTCTCTCTCTCTCTCTCTCTCTCTCTCTCTAATATCTTCTTCTTCCATGGCAGTTTCAGCTTTTAAAATTATGTCTCTGTTTCTGAGTGTGTTTGTGGGTTTTGCATTGTTGGGTCTGGTTAGCTCAGCTAAGTTTGATGAGCTTTTCCAGCCAACCTGGGCTTTCGATCATTTCACCCATGAAGGAGAGCTCCTTCACATGAAACTTGACAACTTCTCTGGTATATACCATTTTCTTTAGAAAATCAATCGCTACCTCTAATGGTTTCTTTAGAGTTTTTGAAGCAGAGCATCAAGCTCTTTTTTTACCCAAAAAAAAGCTCCTTTATTTTGGTTCATTATGCAGAACAAAAATGGTTGTTTTCTTGAATAATGCTTGCTCCTCCTGCTGCTTGACTAATATGATGGTGGGTTTGAAATTTCAGGAGCTGGGTTTCAATCCAAGAACAAGTATTTGTTTGGCAAAGTGAGCCTTCAGATTAAGCTTGTAGAGGGTGACTCTGCTGGAACAGTTACTGCTTTCTATGTGAGTAGACACTACTACCAGTGTGTTTTTCAGAACAAAAAGCAAATCTTTTTTGCTTTATTCCATTATTTTCTGATATTCTGCTTTAAAAAATATTAATTTTTGGAAGTTGAAAACAGCTCAGCTTGTTGTGGTGGATCGATTTGACATACTATTTATTTAGACTAGGCTTTATTTGACCCATCATTGTGCTACCACTGATACTACCAGTAGCTCTTACCGACTATGTTTCCTCTCGTTAAGTTTTTATTTTTGTTAATCCTGATTTGATTATTAATTTGTTCTAATCTTATTACTAATTGTTTTCTCATTGCTTAATCCATTTGTTAATCAAATCCGTATATAGAAAATCTTGTGACTTTGAATTGTCTTTTATGGAACCAACTACCATGTATCAGACTCTGACACTGAAATTCAATTCCCGTCTACTCATTCATATACACTGACTGATATTAATATCATATCTTATGGGTGATGTGATTTTTTATCTAATTCTTCAATCTGTTTTCGTTTTCTTGATTTGTTTGTGTAGATGTCATCGGATGGCCCATCTCACAATGAGTTTGACTTTGAGTTCCTGGGCAACACCACAGGCGAACCTTACTCAGTGCAGACCAACATTTATGTGAATGGCGTCGGCAACAGGGAGCAAAGATTGAACCTTTGGTTCGACCCCACCACGGAGTTTCACTCCTACTCTATCTTCTGGAACCAGCGCCAAGTAGTGTAAGCACTTATCCTTCTCTCGTCACATTTTCTGTGTACATATGCATACATGGTGACTGTGAGCTCGTCTCGTTGCACTCAACTTCGACTTTACCCTTCCATAAATAAAGATTTATGTGTACATGTGTGATAAGTGGTCATTAGTAATTATGATTTCAATGGAGCAGAGGCATGCTGCAGTTCATATTCCAAAAGCCAGCTGCCAGTGTCATGAAGGCAGCGTGTGTCTAAATATCAGTCTCTGTCTAAATATAAAGTTGAGAAAGAAAAACCAAAAAAACCATGGAAAAGAGAACGAATCTTGCATGATGTCTGTAGGGTCGTCTGCTCTGTTTTGGGCCACTGGGCAAGCAATGGCTTTGGCATTTTGCTATATGCCGTACTGCATCATGTCTTATGTGTGAGGTAGTATTGTAAGAGTTTGACAGAGACCCCATTGGGTTAAAAAATAAAAAATCTGATATTCTTCTCAAAGTTCTCATCTTGATGTCGGTAAAAGTGACAAATTATATCTTACTAAAAAAGGGCCTATAATTCTTTCTTCTGGTGGGTTCCTTGTGTTAAAATACGTTTTTACTTAAGGGGCTCGTAGGGTTTAGACTATTTTTACTCTTGCACTCAAGGTTTTACGTTCGATTGACTTATGTGTTCTTCAATTGTTGGTTTTGCTCAGGTTTCTAGTGGATGAGACACCAATTAGAGTCCACACCAACATGGAAAACAAAGGGGTGCCCTTCCCCAAGGACCAAGCTATGGGGGTGTACAGTTCAATATGGAATGCAGATGACTGGGCCACACAAGGTGGTAGGGTCAAGACAGATTGGTCCCATGCACCCTTCATTGCAACCTACAAGGGCTTTGAAATCAATGCCTGTGAGTGCCCAGTTTCTCTTGCAGCAGCAGATAACGCAAAGAAGTGCAGCAGCAGTGGGGATCAGAAGTATTGGTGGGATGAGCCTACATTGTCAGCCCTCAATCTCCACCAGAACCACCAGCTCGTGTGGGTTAAGGCTCACCACATGTTCTATGACTACTGCACTGATTCTGCTAGGTTTCCAGTGACACCTCTTGAGTGTGTTCATCACCGCCACTAGGGTTCATGGCCTTGGGAAGATTGAAGGAGAAAAAAAAACTTTGTATAAAAGAAAGGGCAAAAAAAGGAGGGGGGTTAAAAAGCTATAAACATGTGCTCCATGTTTTTTTTTCTCTCTTGTTCGTTTCTTTTGTTCTGTTTGGTCTCAGGTTGTATGATAGGCGTGGTAATTTCAATGTGAAATATGAATTTTCTTTTTTCCTTAAGTTTTTACTTGTGTGATACTGGGACTTACTGCTCACTACCAAACATCGTACAAAATTGCTAGCTTGCATGCGTTCACAGTTTCCTGGTATAATTTTTAGGTCACGGGGAGAACAATCATGGTTGATGGTAGTAGGTAGGGAATGGGAAAAAGTTATGCGACAGGGAAGGAAAATGCCTGAAAGAAACAAATAGTGGACCCCAAATTTGGGATGTCATTTTGTCATAGTGGGCCAGCCTCTTCAGTCCTCAAGGCAAGTGGTGAAAGGCAATGAAAGTTTAGACAAGGGTAAGGCTTGGCTTTTAACAAGCCGAGTGGTCAAGTGTTTCATATCCATGAATAAATTCATATTGGAAATGGAAATCGAACTTAGAATCTCGAATGTATGAATCATTAAAGCTATAAATTCATTTTGCATGAAATCACACTTATTATTATGGGCCAAAACATTTGGCGGTCATGATTAAAGAGAAGTTAATAAAGAACCGAAAGTCATTGGCCATGTGAATGTGTGATGGCATGATTGGTTTGGTTTCTTCTCCCTTGTAAAAGGGGAATGTGGGAACAATGTCATTGTTTGTGCCTTGGTTTTTTCAAAGTGATATGACAATGCTTGACATGCATTTTAGACAATTTGTGTTGGGAAGAAATCAAATTAAGCAAGGAAGGTCACAAGAATACAGTACGAAAGCTTCTCTTTAACTTTTCTCGTGAATTCAAGCTTTCTTCTTTCAAGGGTTGAAAGACTGTTGTTTCCTATCTCTTCCTATACTGCTGGGCCAGAGCTTTCTTATTACCTCTGCCACAAACACGTGAAACTTGTGTAGAAATTAAAACCTAGCATGCATGATTGAGTTAAGTAGCACCTTGTTTAGATGGGGGACCAATAATTTAAATTTGAGGATCATATAGGTTCCTTTCTCTTCAGGATAACCTAGCTACTGTAACTTGGAATAACTTTGCTGGTTTTTGGTGGATTCATGACATAATCCAAAACTCCTAGGTCCCATACAAAAGATAGGACATGAAAGGGGGTTGGAAGAAGGTGATGGTTTTCCACTCAGATGAATTAATCTGGTCCACAGTAAATAATGGAAAAACACAAAAGCTGAAAGGAGCCATTTCACAAGAATCAAATCAAATGACTTACTTACCGAGGAGAAAAACTTGTGTGGAACAGAGATAGAACTGTTTTGTTATCTTTAACCAATCATAACTTTTCCACTTGACCGGAGATAGCCAAAGTTGCACACAAATTTTTCTGTTTGAGGAGCGTCCTCTGCTGTAGATGGGTTAAATATAACAGTAACTCTGCTTTCTGCCGTGTTTTCTTTTTGGTTAAACACAAAACTTGACTGATTTAACATGTATTCTTTTTCTTTTCTATTGCTATGATGAGATGGAGCTACCACTCATTTAAGAGATACAAGATGAGGTGGTAGATCAGGAAATAATAAAGGCAATAATTAATTCTCAGAGTAAAACACATCAGGCCCCATTAACACCCACCAATCTTTTTTATGGGTGGAAAAGCTTTGAATTTGATCATTGAGGACAAAAAACAAGTGAAGCATCAAGATCTAGAGAAGACAATGATGGTGGTTGATAGGCATCAAATTTGAGTTCATCATGTACTGAAGGGGCTCATGGCACTGATGAAAGTGGGAGACAGAGCTAAATGTAAAATAAGCTTAAAGTGGTTTTGTCAACTTGTTGAGCAGAAAATGAACATTTTATATATATAGAAGCATACATTATAAGATGCTTTAAGAAAGAGAATATTATATGTAATTAGAGGCGACAAGAACAGACAAAGGGGCTCATATTAATCCCAACAAATAGAAATCAACCATGTTTAGCTTTGGCATGGAAGAGCTGCTATTGATCATTAATGGAACCACACACAAAAAATGTTGATCACATGTCATGGCAGAGAATCCAAAGGAACAAGAAACCAAGATTCTAGCAATGATATTAGAGAAACACTTTCATAATCAATGATAGAAATGAATTTTGAGACACTGAATTATATGTTATTAAAGTTATATCAAATTTGGAATAATTAAAAAACAGATACAAGATGGCTGATATAGGCTTAGCAAAGTTGACTAGAGCTAATGTGCTCCTCACTCTGCACCCGAGATCGAATCTCCCTCCCTGTAGTTTAGATTAAATTAAAGTAGATCATCGTTTGTATTAAAAAAAAAACAGATATAAATTAGTTACAAAATAAGTATGTATAGAGCTAAAACCCTAGACAATAAAAACAGGAAACCAATATACTTGATCCAACATCAAAGACAAACCAGATCATGTGACATTCAGAATTAACATAGAAAATAAATAAAACAAAACTTTCCTGAAACATTTGGGTTTTTCAGCCCAAGGATTATTGGGCTTATGGGTTCTCTTTCATCTTGTAGCTTACAACTTGGGCTGGGACTTGGGTTCAAAATTCAAATTTTAAATTATGAAAAAGCTGAAGATGAAGAGCGAGATAAAAAGATTACAATTCATTTGGGGGCAAATTGGGGCGGTTAGGGCTTTTCTTTTTTCTTCACAATTACTGCTTGGTCAGTTGTCACTGTCGTCGCCTAGCCCTCTCTTCAGCCCCGAATTCTCTTTCCATGAAGCTTTGACCATTTTTCTCTTCTGAGCTCAGACCCCTTGAGACACGAGGGTAGGGGGTCCCGGAGCAAAAGAAGGTAACTTTTTCGCTTCTCCAATTCTTGCTTGTTACTTTTGTTGTCAAATTTGATGAGATCTATGCTTGGTTATTTCACTGAGTACGTAAATCCAGTCCAGTTTTGAATTTATTTCAAATATAATTTTTGTTTCGTAATTTTGCTATTATGATTTTGTGTATAGCAGCAAGCTTGCGGCTCTAGCAAGATTGTCAATTGAGTTAGTTTTTGTTTATTTGTTTGTTGGAAGAGTATTGGCAATATCAAATGGAAATTTTTAGTTGACTGAATGTTTAGTTTAAATGGTTTGTGCGGGAAAATGAAAGAGAAATTGATGTCGGTGTTGGAATTGTTTGCCTGAAAAAGTCAAACTAAGTGATCTTTTTGCATCTTCCTATTTTGTGTTCCATGTATCCAAACGCAATATGCCACAATCATGTTTTTGAATTTGGAGTAGATGGAGGTCATTTTTCCATTGTTTTGTACAAATGATAAAATTATTGGAAGCTTCGAGAGGCCTAACAGTCTTCCTAGCATTGTAGGATATCTTCTGAATATAATTTATGGTTTCTTTCTTTGTGTTTACTCTCTGCTCTTTTAATCCTGGGAAGACTTAGGTTTAGTGTCTGTATACTGAATGAGTAATTGAAGGATATGTGGTTGCGTTGTATGTTGGCGGTTTTGCGTGCCCGTATGTTGGTTTGATTATGGGCATTGCGCTAGGTGGTGTTTCGAGGTGTTGCTTTTTCTTTAGTTTTCTCTAAGGTTGGCGTAGCTGAAGCAAATTTGGCCAGTAATTAAGTGTCGCTTTTGAAATAAAGATTATCTCTAAAGACAAAGCCTTCTTTCTAATATTGGCAGGTGGCTCATTGTATTTCCTGTTCAGTACAAAAGTTAACTGCATGACCAAGTTGGTCAAAACAGATCCAAGACAGGATGGATCTAATCCTGTGGCTGAGACTCTTGCGAAGTGGAAAGCATATAACGACCATCTGGATTCGTGCAACGATGAAAGTAAACCAATTCGTAGAGTACCAGCCAAGGGATCAAAGAAGGGATGCATGAAGGGTAAAGGCGGGCCTGAGAACTCTCGTTGTAACTATAGAGGTGTTAGGCAGAGGACATGGGGCAAGTGGGTTGCAGAAATTCGGGCACCAAACAGGGGAAGTAGGCTCTGGCTGGGTACTTTCCCAACTGCAATTGAAGCTGCACTTTCTTATGATGAAGCTGCAAGGGCCATGTATGGTTCTGCTGCGCGCCTTAACTTTCCTAATATATCAATTTCCAGTTTGTCAAAGGATCCTTCTTCTAGGGTAACTCTTTCAGCTGCTTCCTCGTTAGCAACCTCTGCAGGTTCAGAATCCTCAGGAAGATCAGACCACTCGGAGGATTGTGCTGCTCAGGGTAAGGTGAATTATCTTTCCCCTAATGTAGAGAATGAGGATACGACGACGAATCGAGATCAAACGAATGAGGATGGAGAAGATGAATGAAGAGTCAGTCTCTGACCTTCTCGGGCATTATGATGTACATTTTTAGTATACATACTTGGGTGATGGTGGAGGGTGGATTTTCATGTTGTACGTGGGAGATGACAGGAATTTTTAAATTTTTAGTTTCAATTCTCATTTGGAGTATAGAGCTTCTTACCTTTCCCAGGGGCGGTTTCTGACCGTTGATGAGATGCAAGTTTCACGTACATTGAAGATTGTCACCAATTTAAGTTCCAGTAATTGGCTGATGGTCAACCAAAAAAGAAAAAAAAGAAAGAAAAGTAATTGGCTAATGCTTTCCCAACCAGAAGAGAAAAAAATTAGAAATTAAATAAAAGCCAAGGCTAATTTCCCAACAAGAAAAGGAAAAAAAAATAAAAAAAAATAAAGGCTAATAATGGTTTTAAATGTAATTTTGTTAGTGGGTTGTCCTGAAGCCCATAGGAATCCTACTATCAAAAGCAAAAGGAGTTCTTGTTAAAGGCGGTAAATCTCTGAAGCGAAATCTATATAAACCGCAAACCAAACCTGACTTCAAGAGCGAAACCAAAACCCCCCACAAAACCCTGGAAATCCCAAACCGCCATTAAAGCTCCAGAAAAGTTCTTCACGCAGAAACACAGTGCTCGTGAAGATTTTCCACACCGTAATATTTGGTTCACAATTCGATTTGGTTTCTTCCTCTGTTTCGCAGTAGTATGCAGAGCAACGGCGAAATTGCGCCACCTGGCACCGTCGCATCGTCGGTTCTTCCACCGCCGATGGCGGAGCCCGCCCTCTTCGAGAGGGCTCGGACATGGCAGAAGCTCGAATCGAAGCGGTACGGCACTAAGCGAAAGTTCGGCTTTGTCGAGGCGGAGAAGGAGGACATGCCTGCGGAACACGCGAGGAAGGTGCTTAGAGATCACGGGGACATGTCGTCGAAGAGATTTAAACATGATAAGCGAGTGTACTTGGGAGCGCTTAAGTTTGTTCCTCATGCTGTCTACAAGCTGCTCGAGAATATGCCAATGCCATGGGAGCAGACCCGTGAAGTTAAGGTTTTGTACCATGTAAGTGGAGCAATAACTTTCGTGAACGAAGTGCCGTTGGTTGTCGAGCCGATATATTTGGCTCAGTGGGGGGACAATGTGGATTATGATGAGGAGGGAGAAGAGGGATCGTCGGCAGTTCAAGAGAATGCGGTTTCCACCATTCGATGACGAGGAGCCTCCGTTAGACTATGCTGATAATCTGTTGGATATTGTTGATCTGCCGGAGCCAATTCAACTGTAGTTGGATGAAGAAGAAGACTCTGCTGTGTGTTCTTGGTTTTATGACCATAAGCCTCTGGTGAAGACAAAGCTCATCAACGGTCCAAGTTATCGCAGGTGGCATCTCTCGCTTCCGATTATGGAAACGCTTCACCGGTTTGCAGGGCAGGTACTTTCCGATTTGGTTGACCGCAATTATTTTTACTTGTTTGATAGGGAGTCTTTTTTAACTGCCAAAGCTCTTAATGTGTGTATACCAGGTGGACCCAAGTTTGAACCTTTGTATAGGGGCATGGAGAAAGGGGATGAGGACTGGAATGAGTTTAATGACATAAACAAACTCATTATCCGGTGGCCTCTCCGAACTGAGTACAGAGTCGCATTCCCTCATCTCTACAACAATAGACCCAGGAAGGTAAAGCTTTCTGTTTATCGTACTCCCATGGTTATGTACATAAAAACTGAGGATCCTGATATACCTGCGTTTTGTTATGATCCACTGATACACCCAATACTGAGCACTAACACAAAGAAAACTTATGATGATGATGAGGAGGAGGAAGATGATGGTTTTGTTTTGCCGAAAGGGTTGGAACCGTTTTTGAATGATACTCAGCTTTATACTGACACCACAGCTGCAGGAATTTCCTTGTTGTTTGCCCCACGCCCTTTTAACATGAGATCTGGTCGGACGAGACGGGCAGAAGATATAGCTCTTGTGTCTGAATGGTATAAAGAGCATTGCCCTCCCTCGTATCCAGTTAAAGTTCGGGTCAGCTATCAGAAATTGTTGAAAAGTTTTGTGTTGAATGAGCTGCATCATAGACCACCCAAGGCTCATAAGAAGACGCAGCTGTTTAGGTCTCTTAAAGCTACCAAATTTTTCCAAACTACAGAACTTGATTGGGTTGAAGCGGGTCTTCAAGTCTGTAAGCAGGGATATAACATGCTAAATCTATTGATCCATAGGAAAAATTTGAATTACCTTCACCTTGATTATAATTTTAATCTGAAGCCTGTGAAAACCTTGACAACAAAAGAGCGTAAGAAATCTCGGTTTGGTAATGCTTTTCATCTCTGTCGTGAAATCTTGCGGTTGACAAAGCTTGTAGTTGATGCCCACGTCCAGTTCCGTTTGGGTAATGTTGATGCCTTCCAATTGGCTGACGGCCTGCAGTACATATTTTCCCATGTTGGTCAGTTGACTGGCATGTACCGTTACAAGTACAGGTTGATGCGGCAGATTAGAATGTCCAAAGATTTGAAGCACTTGATTTACTACCGGTTCAATACTGGGCCAGTAGGGAGAGGACCCGGATGTGGCTTCTGGGCACCAATGTGGAGGGTGTGGTTGTTCTTCCTTCGTGGCATAGTACCTCTTCTGGAAAGGTGGTTGGGAAATTTACTTGCCCGACAATTTGAAGGGCGCCATTCAAAAGGTGTGGCAAAGACTGTAACTAAGCAGCGTGTTGAAAGCCATTTTGACTTGGAGCTTCGAGCTGCTGTCATGCATGATGTTCTTGATGCCATGCCAGAGGGCATCAAGCAAAATAAGGCCAAGGCTATATTGCAGCATCTCAGTGAGGCATGGCGTTGTTGGAAGGCAAATATTCCTTGGAAGGTTCCTGGTTTGCCAGTTCCCGTAGAGAATATGATTCTTCGTTATGTCAAGTCAAAGGCCGATTGGTGGACAAATGTTGCTCATTATAATCGTGAACGTATAAGAAGAGGCGCTACAGTGGATAAGACAGTTTGTCTGAAAAATCTTGGGAGATTGACTCGCCTTTGGCTAAAGGCAGAGCAGGAACGACAACACAATTATCTGAAAGATGGTCCATATATTACACCAGAAGAGGGAGTTGCAATGTACACGACAACTGTGCATTGGTTGGAGTCAAGAAAGTTCATCCACATTAAGTTCCCCCCTTTGTCATACAAGCATGATACAAAGCTACTTATCCTTGCTCTCGACAGGTTGAAGGAATCTTACGCTGTGGCTGTAAGATTGAACCAGCATCAAAGAGAGGAACTGGGTCTCATTGAACAAGCCTATGATAACCCACATGAAGCGTTGTCACGAATAAAGCGCCACTTGCTCAGTCAGCGTTCCTTCAAAGAAGTTGGCATACAGTTTATGGATTTGTACAGCTATCTCATTCCAGTTTATGAGATTGATCCTCTTGAGAAGATTACAGATGCATATCTTGATCAATATTTATGGTATGAGGCTGACAAAAGGCATCTCTTCCCAAACTGGATCAAGCCTGCAGATTCAAAGCCACCCCCACTCTTGGTTTATAAATGGTGTCAGGGAATAAACAATTTACAGAGTATATGGGACACAAGTGAGGGGCAGTGTGTGGTGATGCTTCAGACTAAGTTTGAGAAGTTCTTCGAAAAGATTGACTTGACGATGCTAAATCGGCTTCTAGGTCTGATTCTTGACAGGTATCTTGCTGATTATATCACTGCGAAAAACAATGTGTTATTGTGTTACAAAGATATGAATCATACAAATTCTTATGGTCTTATACGTGGTCTTCAGTTTGCATCATTTGTGGTGCAATATTATGGGCTTGTTGTGGATCTGTTACTTCTTGGATTGACTCGTGCCAGTGAGATTGCGGGTCCACAGCAGATGCCAAATGAGTTCACTACTTATCAGAACACAAAGGTTGAGACTCGGCATCCTATCAGGCTGTACTCTCGATATATAGACAGGGTGAATATGCTGTTCTGCTTCACTCACGAGGAGGCTAGAGACCTTATCCAGAGATATCTGACTGAGCATCCAGATCCCAATAATGAAAATATGGTTGGATATAATAATAAGAAGTGCTGGCCAAGAGATGCCAGAATGAGGCTCATGAAACATGATGTAAATCTTGGGAGGAGCGTTTTCTGGGATATGAAGAACCGTCTTCCTCGAAGCGTCACAACTTTGGAGTGGGAAAACAGCTTTGTTTCTGTTTACAGCAAAGATAATCCAAATTTGCTCTTCAGCTTGTGCGGGTTTGAAATTAGGATACTTCCCAAGATAAGAATGAGTCAGGAAGCATTTAGCAGCACGAGAGATGGAGTTTGGAATTTGCAGAATGAGCAGACAAAGGAGAGGACTGCAGTTGCTTTCTTACGAGTTGATGATGAACAGATGAAGGTGTTTGAGAATCGTGTGAGGCAGATCCTTATGTCCTCAGGGTCCACAACATTCACAAAAGTAGTCAACAAATGGAATACAGCCCTTATTGGTCTTATGACTTACTTCCGTGAAGCAACTGTGCATACACAAGAGCTGTTGGATTTGCTGGTGAAATGTGAAAATAAAATTCAGACTCGTATTAAGATTGGATTGAATTCGAAGATGCCGAGCAGGTTTCCACCTGTCATCTTTTACACGCCAAAAGAAATTGGAGGTCTTGGCATGTTATCTATGGGTCACATACTGATTCCACAAAGTGACCTCAGATACAGTCAGCAGACAGATTTTGGTGTGACGCACTTTAGGAGTGGAATGAGTCATGAAGAGGACCAGCTGATTCCAAATCTTTACCGTTACATACAGCCATGGGAGAGTGAATTTATAGATTCACAGCGTGTTTGGGCAGAATATGCAATGAAAAGGCAGGAAGCTCAGGCACAAAATCGGCGTCTAACCCTTGAAGATTTGGAAGATTCATGGGATAGGGGAGTACCTCGCATAAATACTTTGTTCCAGAAGGACCGTCACACCTTAGCTTACGACAAAGGGTGGAGAGTTCGCACAGAGTTTAAGCAGTACCAGGTCTTGAAGCAGAATCCTTTCTGGTGGACACACCAGAGGCATGATGGAAAATTGTGGAACTTGAACAACTATAGAACCGATGTTATCCAAGCTCTTGGAGGTGTTGAGGGAATACTTGAGCACACCTTATTCAAAGGAACATACTTCCCTACTTGGGAGGGTCTTTTTTGGGAGAAGGCATCTGGCTTTGAGGAATCTATGAAGTTTAAGAAGTTAACCAATGCACAAAGATCTGGGCTCAACCAAATCCCCAATCGTAGGTTTACCCTTTGGTGGTCGCCAACCATAAATCGGGCCAATGTATATGTGGGTTTCCAAGTGCAGCTAGATCTGACAGGAATTTTTATGCATGGGAAGATCCCAACCTTGAAGATATCATTGATTCAGATATTTCGAGCCCACTTGTGGCAGAAGATTCATGAAAGTGTTGTCATGGATCTCTGTCAGGTTTTGGATCAGGAGCTGGATGCTTTGGAAATTGAAACTGTGCAGAAGGAAACTATACATCCGAGGAAGAGTTACAAAATGAACAGCTCCTGTGCTGACATTCTTCTCTTTGCTGCCCATAGATGGGCAATGTCAAAACCTAGTCTTGTGGCTGAAACAAAGGATGTGTTCGATCAGAAAGCAAGCAATAAGTACTGGATAGATGTACAACTCCGTTGGGGAGACTATGATTCTCATGACATTGAACGTTACACTCGAGCCAAGTTTATGGATTACACAACTGACAACATGTCTATTTATCCTTCTCCCACAGGGGTGGTGATTGGTATTGATTTAGCTTATAACTTACATTCTGCGTTCGGTAACTGGTTTGCTGGGTCAAAACCACTACTTCAACAGGCAATGAACAAGATCATGAAGTCAAATCCAGCTTTGTATGTCTTGAGGGAGCGGATAAGGAAAGGATTGCAGTTGTATTCATCTGAGCCTACAGAACCTTATTTGTCTTCCCAAAACTATGGGGAGATCTTCAGCAATCAACGTATTTGGTTTGTTGATGACACTAATGTGTATCGTGTTACAATCCATAAAACATATGAAGGAAATGTGACTACGAAACCCATCAATGGTGCTATTTTCATATTCAATCCAAGGACTGGGCAGCTATTCTTGAAGGTCATTCACACAAGTGTGTGGGCGGGGCAGAAGCGACTTGGTCAGTTGGCTAAGTGGAAAACCGCAGAAGAAGTTGCTGCGCTTGTGCGTTCTCTACCCGTTGAAGAACAGCCAAAGCAAATTATTGTCACTCGTAAGGGAATGCTGGACCCATTGGAGGTTCACTTGCTGGATTTCCCCAACATAGTCATAAAAGGAAGTGAACTGCAACTTCCTTTCCAGGCTTGCTTGAAGAATGTGAAATTTAATGATCCGGTAGTAAAGGCCACTGAGCCGCAGATGGTTCTTTTCAACATTTATGATGATTGGTTGAAGAGTATTTTATCATACACTGCATTCTCCCGGCTCATTCTGATCCTTCGCGCACTACATGTGAACAGTGTTAAGGCCAATATGTTGTTGAAGCCTGACAGAACGGTAATCACTGAGCCACACCACATCTGGCCTTCTCTTTCTGATGATCAATGGATGAAGGTCGAGGTTGCTTTAAGAGATGTCATACTATCAGATTATGCAACAAAGAACAATGTGAATACATCGGCCCTGACACAGTCTGAGATTCGTGATATCATACTTGGAGCTGAGATTACCCCACCTTCTCAACAGAGGCAACAGATTGCAGAAATTGAGAAACAGGCTAAAGAAGCAAGTCAGCTGACAGCAGTCACGACAAGGACTACAAATGTGCATGGTGATGAACTTATTGTCACCACTACGAGTCCTTTTGAGCAAAAAGCATCTGGGTCCAAAACTGATTGGCGTGAGAGAGCAAAGTCTGCTGCAAATCTATTCTTGCGAGTCAATCATTTATACGTGAATTCGGAAGAGATAAAGGAAACGGGTTACACTTATATTATTCCGAAGAACATCTTGAAAAAGTTTATTGGCATTGCAGATCTGAGGACGCAAATTGCTGGTTACTTATACGGTGTAAGCCCTCCTGACAACCCTCAGGTCAAGGAAGTTCGCTGCATTGTCATGCCACCTCAGAAGGGAACCAGCCAGCAGGTTTATCTCTCATCAGTTCTTCCTAAGAATGATTTCCTCAATGATTTGGAGCCTTTGGGATGGATGCACACGCAGCCAAATGAGCATCCTCAGCTTTCTCATCATGATGTCATATCTCATGCGAAGATGTTAGACAGCAACACGCAATGGAATTTGGAGAAGTGCATCATTTTAACGTGCAGTTTCACTCCAGGTTCCTGCTCGTTAACTGCATATAAACTCACTCCACCTGGTTATAAATGGGGATGTCAAGTCAATAAACAAGGCAGCGAAGGCGATGTAACTCCACAGGGATACCTTCCAACTCATTATGAGAAGGTTCAGATGCTTCTCAGCGACAGATTTCTTGGTTTCTTCATGATACCAGATATTGGTTCATGGAACTACAATTTCATGGGGATGAAGCTTACGTCTGGTATGAAGTATGACATCAAGCTTGGGATACCCAAGGAGTATTATGACCAGGACCACCGGCCCACCCATTTCCTGCAGTTCAGCAACTTGGAGGAGGGTGACAGAGAAGTCGTTCGGGACGATAACTTCGCATAAATATTTTTTTTCTGGAATGCAAGGCCAAAGGTGTACAAGGTTACGTTTTTCCAATCACCATACTCATCATTCTTGTCATAATCACTGTCTGTAGAATAGAAAGTTTAGTATTTTACTGGATAGCGTAAGTAGCCCATTTGAATATATTTGTTTTGTTCATATGTTTGTTGTCTTCCTTACGAGTTTATGTTTTCTAAACTTGTTTACATATTCTTCGTCATTAGTTGCTAACGTGCATATATTTAAAGCATAAATAGCTGAATAATCAAACTGCCAAATGCTAACCTTTTGAGAATATCTTAATCCCCCCAGAATTTGGATAAGATATAAGATAGTATGCCATTTAGCCAAGGACAAAGGTATCTTAGATATTTAGGACACAAATCTGCCGACAAATTTGTTGCATCCATGATGCCAGGAGGCAAACATGGGATTCGAATTTAAGGACATGAGAGGCATAGCTCAACTGAAAAACAGAGGCCACACAGGTCATGGGCACAACCTAAGCTCTATGTCTCGACCTTAGGAAACTTAGAGAGTTTTACAAGTCACATATATATTATAAAGACATGAGTGATCCTAGGCCATCAATAAGGAACAGGATTATAGGCCACACAAATTCGCATTCAATTCCAATAAAACATTCATAATACATACCCTACAATTATACCATTCTTATCCTTGCGTAGTTGCAGTTCAAGATATTACAAATTCACATGAAAAAGAATCCTCCTCATCAACCATGTGTTTGAGAGAGAGAGAGAGAGAGAGAGTCAACTAGTGTAGCAGACACACGTGTCATTGGCTTTTCATGGGATATCTAAAGTGCAAAAGTCTGTGAGGCATCTCTTTAGGCTTTTGAGCTCTTTGGACTCTGGCCAGTTTGGTGGAGACAGTTCACACCTCACAGAGTCTGCTTTTACCCCCCACGACGATGGTTCGTTTTGGTAAATCTAAATCTAGCCAGCAGCTCATTAGCTAAAAGCCATCTAAAACAACCCACCATTGCTCAATAAAGTCAAAATCCTTAGATCAGTAAAGTCTTAATTATCACTTATCTGAGCATCTACAACTGTCCATAATGTATATTATTGTTCCTTAATTACCATGACAGAGTAATCTTTTATTCTTTTTCTTTGGGATGACATAATGCAATGCCATCCTTTTTAATTTGTCAGCTTGCTCTTTAATTATAGGGGTTGACCGTTGACCAAAGTTCACCTAACCAAGTCACATGAGTGTTAGGGTAAAGGAAGCATGAAAAAAAGGCAGGCAAAAAGGAAAAAAACAAAACGAAAGAAGGTTGTTGGTTCATAAGATCATGAGTTCATATCATGAAGTGTCAAGACTGAAGAGCCCAACTGCTATTTTTCCAGCTGTAACACCAGCTGTGCCCTATTGATCCCAAAGAAAAAAAAAAAAAAAAAAAAAAAAAAAAAAGGAAAAACCACTCTTAAATCACTTGCAAATTGAGCCTCCAAGGAGCTGGCCTGAAAGCAATGAAATCAAAATCAATAAAACCGGAGAAAGCGACACCGTTTCATGACTGCGACCACTCTCTTCCCTGGACCCGTAAGGCTTTATGAAACTGCCAATATGGACAAAAACGGAGAGTCACGCGTGTTTACCGTAAGCAGTGAAAATGCAGAACGAACGATATCATAAGAATGTAGAATCGAACATAAAATCTTGGAAAATATGATTTTCGAGAAAAGCTGAAAAATTATAAATTCCTCCAAATTAATTTTGTAACACTCCTTCCTTCCGCATGACATATGATATGGTGGTATATCAGATGCTCAAGGCCCGTTTGGTAATGTTTTTAGAGAGCATTTTTGGAGAATGTTTTCATAGAATGAAAACAAGAAAATGAAAACGCATTGAAAATGCGTCTGGTAGATTAATTAGAAAATATCTTCAGAAAACAAAAACAATGAAAACGTGTCTGATAGTACAATGTGAAATAATAATATGCGAGTTATTTTTATGAAAACGTTTCTCATGACAATGAAACAACTTTTTTCTGTTTTCTACAAGTACACATGAACTTGTTTTTATTTTATGAAAACATTCCCAAATTTTTCTGTTTTTGGGGCCACCGAACATGTTTTTGCCTTATTTTTGTTATCAGAAAATGAAAACAACCCCTTAAAACGTTACCCAATAGGCGTTAATGGTTTTGAGAGAAAACCCTCCTTCCACATTGTTTTGGGAAGTTTCTTCCCAAAGCGGAAAGTCCTCCCCATGCCCATTTCTTTCCTTTTCCTTTATTTGTTTCCAGCTTTTTGTCCCCCAAAACAATCACTACACATCTCGAGCCCTGGAGTGCGCTGCACAGTGTATCCAGTTGTAGTTGCATGTCGTTTTGTACTTCCACAGATGTCTCTTTCTAACGCTTTCACCTGCCTGCCTGCCGCCTAGATTCTCTTCCGCGTATCAAAACTTTCCCGGATCCCAACTTCCTCTCTACTCCACCACACCACAATAAAACTTTTACCACACGTGGGGCCCACTACCCAACAACAACCTCCTCCCCTGATCAACCGAGCTTCAAACCACACGTCCATCCTTCCGCATCCATCTAAGCCATCCGTTCCTCTCTATATAAACCTCCCCCAACTCAACCTCATTCCAATCTCAATCTCCCCAAAACCCAACCAAAGAAAGAAACAATCTTTAAGCAAATCTTTTGATCTTTTAGCAATAGCCTCATATTCTAAACCCAATGGCTAGACTTGGTCTGATTTGCTTAGTTCTAGCCGGGTTCATGGTGCTTCAAGCCACCATGGCTGATAAATCCCAGGATTTGGAGCTGAATCCATTTGAGGAAGTGAAGTTCCAAGATGGGGTTTTTGTCAGAGAAGCAGAACACTCTGTTTCTGTTGCTGCAGAGCCATCATCTGAGAGTATGCAGGAAGCCCAAGGAGCTGAAGCTCCAACTAGCAGGCGTTTGGGACCAGGAAAGCATCACTCCTCTGATAAGTCTATGGCTGGAGGAGGTGTCATTATTGGTGGCCTTGTAACTACCATTTTTGCAGCTGTTTTCTGCTACATCAGGGTTACTAGAAGAAGGGGCGGTGTTCATTAAGCTCCTTGCTGCGTTTATATATATAATGAGGATAAATGAGTGTAAAGGAGTGATTTTGATCAACACAGATACAAAATGATATCAGAATTAGATGATTTAGTGTAGTCGGAGATTTATCTTATTATTATTATGAATATTAGTGAGTGTGAATATTAGATTGAGATTTCTTTGAAGAATATGCTTTATTTTTGTGCATTTCAGTGCTCTGGTTAATTGCTTTCTTCTTCCTTTATCCTTTTCTAATTTCTCAAGTCTTAAGCTGAGATATGGCTTGGTTTATGGTCTGCAACAGAATGCCTTCTTTTCTTTCCCTCGAAGCAACTGTAGGAGCTTCTACTTGAGAGAAGTTTTTTTCTATTTTAAATCATTTGGTTTGGTCTGCCAAGAAAATCTAAAGCTGATTATGTCAAGGGTTCCAAAAGAGAGAGCAAAATTATAGTGTTTGCATCATGGACACACAAAATTTGAGCGCTCCAAGAAAGTAGGATTTGCCAAGCACATGATTTTTCATATAAAAATAAGAGGCAGGTCGGTGCCTCTGTCATGCTGCAACTACCCTGCAATATTGATTGTTATGCTCATGAAGTTTTCCATCTTGTGGAGGTTTTATCATAAATGAACGCGGAATCAGGTAGATATATATATATATATATATATATATATATATATATGAAGATTCACCTGATTTTTTTGGAAAAAGGAAAAAGTCAACTGGAAGAAGACAAATCTTCCAGGCTTTCACATGCGAAGCAACCACTAGACCAAAATCTTTCTTTTGGAACTACATTCCCCTGCGTTTTCATTGCAGTCACTCACTCTATTGTTTTTCTGTTTATAGTATTCAATTAAAATACAATTAAACAAAGAAGTTCAATTCAACGTCCACCAGTCCACCAACCCAGCATTTGTTATTGGCTCCTCCAGGCATTCATGGTCTCTGCCGGTGGATGCGACTCCTTTTCCTAAATGGGGTTTTTAAATTTATAAATACGACTTCTTCCCTCCTTATTATGTTGGGAGATTCACTATAATACTCAATATATGAGCCCAAATTATAAAAAAATCCTATGTGAAATGGACTTTAGAAATACACCCAAAATCCATTTATAACATAACAAAAAAAGCTTTTAACTTTTTTAAATTACAAAACTGCCATTGATTTCTTAAAACAAACCCAACCCAAAAATCTCATAAAAAATCCTAAAACACTCAATGGGACATCAAAGTAATTTAATAATTAAAATTAAATTCAATAAGGCCAGCTATTATTTTTTGGATTTTTTTTTGGATTTGTTTTTAGTTTTTAAATAGTGTAGGATTTATTTATAGTTTTAGTGCTAAAAATGGGTATATTACTAAATATCTTTATTAGGTTATTATGTAAGTAGAAGTTCTTATATTTTTGTCAATAACATTGGACATGTGTGCATAAGTTTTTTTGTTGTTTTTGTGTTTTTTTTATGAATTATTTTTGAATTCGTTTATCTTTGATTCGCAAGAATGAGAAGTATCTCCTATAAGAAAGAAGGCAGAAGTTGTACATTTTGACGGTAAATTGGATACGGAAGTTGAACATTCAGCAAAAGATTGAACAGGGAAAGGTTGGCCATTCGGCATGGAACTATGACTATAGAGCCTCACAAGTCTCTTGGGGTTGACCAACTTTATCAAAATAACTCAAACATGCTCTCATCTGATTGGACTGCTAGCAAACAGATCAAGGTCTTCTACTCAAGTTGCAATTTGGTGAAGAAAAGGCGACACGATCTTTGATTGATGCAAATTTTTCTTATAAAGAAAAAGTATCCCTATTTATTGTGGTTGTAGAGGGAGAGGCATCATGTGTCTTCAAAATGCTTGGAGGGTCGGTCGTTGTCACTCCTTTGTATCTACAATTTCTCTTCAATGATCCAAAAGTGATCCATAAAATAAATAAAAAAAAAAAAAAAAAAAAAAAAAAAACCAAAAAAAAAAAAAAAAAATTGCAATGGCAGCTATGCAGAACACCAAATTGAGGTTTAGGTGAGAGAAAGCACCATGTCCATGTGTTAGGTTAGAGAAATTGTTATTAATATATAATGATTTAATGTCATAAAATAGTGGGTTTTATCACTTGTTGACAATGAGGATGTTAGGAAACTCATCCTTGCCATCGAGGAGCCAAACACTGTTTAAAAGTGAATACATAGTTACCAAATCTTTCTATAAATTGTCATGAGAAAGAGCTAATCAATTAAGGATACAACAAATTATGGGTTACTATATATAGACTTCCCCAGCAATGTAGGTCAGTTGGCAAGGCACTGTGCCGGTCTCCTTGCACCCGAGTTTAAATGCCCTACCTGTACATTAGAATAATCCCAATCCCCACCCATCCCAAATAAGATGGGGAAGAAAAGAAAATCTTGGGCTTTATCTAAGCCTTGATTGAGGACTTGAATTAAGCCCATCTGAAATTCTTATGCGTTGGGCCAAGCCTTTAGCCCTTGCATGAAAATACACCCATTAGCTTTTGGGGGTGTCTTTGCCATCGACAGTTAGTTACAGTTAGTTACATTCAACTATAATTGCCCTCTGTTTTTCCCTCCAGATTAACAAACTCAACTTACAAATCACAAAGAATACCACTCTCTCTTTCTCTCTCTCTGAAGAAAGAAAGAAGCAGACTTGAATCCAACACCAATGGCTTGTTGCACTCGTTGGCATGCAGCAGTCTACTTCTCCATGGCTGTAATCTTGGCCTTCATAGCAATCTCCATGACACTGCGTTCAGAAGCCAACGATGAAACTTCACAAACCAAACCCATCAGCCACATCGTCTCACTTAACGCCTCAAGAACTCTGAGAAGAGCCGGCTTCAACATCATGGCCACTCTCCTCCAAGTCTCACCAGAACTCTTCTTTTCCTCTGCAAACGCAACCCTCTTTGCTGTCAAAGACTCTGCCATCTCCAACGCCACTCTCCCTCCCCGCCTCTTGAAAAACCTCCTCCAATACCACACCTCCCCTCTCCAGCTTTCAATGGAAGACCTTCTGAGCAAGCCTCAAGGTGCTTGCTTGCCTACCCTTTATCAGCAAAAGAGCATTGCAATCACCAAAGTTGATGAGAAAGAAAGATCGGTTGAGATCAATAATGTGTTGGTTTCACACCCAAATCTGTTTCTTGAAGGACCCATTTCAATTCATGGCGTTCTTGGCCCATTCTCTGCTTTGGATCCTCGAGATGTTTATCAGGGTCGGGACATTATTCAGTCACCTGCCTGTGACTCCAATTCAAATATGATTTCTGATGTTCCTCCTGATTTGAAGAACATGGTTGAATGGTCCTGGATCATCCGATTGCTGAACTCAAATGGGTTCGTTTCGTTTGCCATTGGGCTGCACTCTGTTCTTGATGGGATTCTTGGAGATCATAAGGGTTTGAAGTCCGTGACAATTTTTGTTCCACCAAGCTTGGAGCTTGAAGCATATCCTACTCCTTTGCTTGAGAAAATTGTGAGGTTTCATGTCCTGCCACAGAAGTTTACAAACAGAGATCTCGAATCGTTGGCTCCGAGAACATTGCTCAGGACCCTGCTTCATGGTCAGCCTCTTGAGGTCACTGGGGCTGTGGATTTCATGAAAGGATTGGTCATTAGTGGAGTGAACATTGTGGCCCCTGATATGTTTTCTTCCAGCAAGTTCATTGTCCATGGGATTTCCCGAGCTTTGGAGCTGGACAATTTGCCTAATACAGCAAGATAAGGTGGTTTCATTTCAACTGGTGCTGGGTAACAATCTCAATGCCTCTTCTCCCTCAGCCAATGGATATTGAAGTCATGCAAAATCGCAAGGCAAAGGGACATCACCTTGCAAATACTTTTAGTTCCTTCTGTTTTTGTTTTGGATACATTGGTGTAGGTGGTTTTTGCAACACAAGATGATTTTTGTTTAGGATAGAAGGGCAAGTTTCTTTTGCTGCATCTGAAAAAGGCATTGTCAAGCAACATCTGACAAGAAATGTACGCTCTCAAATGATTCAATTTGTAGTTGAATGAATAAGTGACTAAATAAGAAGTTTAAGACTGTAAGTTGCAATGACATAAGACTCATATATAGTTTTCAGCTTATGTGTCAGATGAATGCTACTAGTAATTCATGAATGACAGGCACAGAACACAATCTGAAACCTGCTAAAAGCACGAGTTCTGCACATCATTCGGTCAAATTAACAAAAGCCGGAATTAAGGCTTTGGGAGAGTAAAGGTTGGGGAAAAGAAAAATTTATGTCAATCAATCAGTTGGCTACTACACAATCTGAGTATTCCACTATGCCTGAATTCTTTTCTTCTCAACAAGGTTATAAAAACCTCTAAAGTAGAAAAGGCCACACCTTGGACACAATCATTCGTCCTCTAAATTCCTTACTGATCATTCAGAACTTGATTTGAAAATCATCAGGCCATTACAGAACAGCAGGAGAAGATCCAGGGATTAGAGTGTGAAACAACAGGGAAGGAAACCAATTCAATAAGCATTTTATGAATCATCAACTTCAGATGTAACAAATTGCGAAACTCGGTCCAGGACCAAATTCTCAAAACCAATGCTCCAAGACTGATAACTTAAGAGCCTCTAACTAAGTCGACCAAAGAAAACCAGATATTGATATGAATGAAACGCAGCCTTTGGCATTGATCATTATCAAGCCACCAAACAAGATGTTATCATCAATGTTCTTCGGGCCAATTCACATTCAGCCATGCAAGTCTGTTTTGAGAAGTCATTAACAGATTCAGTTCAGATAAGAAGAAAGCTTGGAGTTTGTGATTTCAATTCAACTAGACAAAGAAATTGCTGGATAACTAATTGTGTTTAGTCAAAACAGAGATTTGAATCCTAAATTTTGCATTAGAGTAACAAAAGATTAAATGAGTAAAAACAAGACAGACAAACCTGCCTGCTTAGGTGCATGAATCAACTAAACAATACATTGCAAAGATGAGAGGAAAACAAAACATACCAGGAGACTTGAGAGTGAAACCATTCACTCGATCCCAAACTCTTTACAACACTTCTAAAGTTAATCCAGTTCCATTCAAGTTAATTCAGATGTACCAAACTGTGAAACTCTGTCCAGGTCTGAATTCTCAAATCCAACGCTTCAAGACTGATAACTTACGAGCCTATAACTAAATTGACAAAAGAAAACCGTGTGTTGATATGGATGATATCCAGCCTTCAGCATGGATCATTATCATCCCACCAAAGAAGATGTTATTATCAATGTTCTTAGGCCAATTCACATTCAGGTACACACGTCTGTTTGAAATGTCCAAGCTAGTTGCAAGTAGGATATCCTAAACTTATGTAATTCATTAACACTTTCAGATAAGAAGAAAGCTTGCGTTTGTGATTTCAACTTGACAAAGATTGTGTTCAGTCTAAACAGAGGTTCGAACTTCGAATCCAAAATTTTCCATCAGACAACAAAATATTAAATGTGTAAAATTAAGACAGACAAACCTGGCTCTTTGGTGCATGAATCAACTGTGAAATACAGTTCAAGGATGGGAGAAAAACAAAAAATACCATGACACTTGAGAGTGAAACCATTCACTCGATCCCATACTTAATCCAGATCCATTCAAGTCTTTTAAATCCCAAATTCAGATTATAAGTAACACACTATCCAATCTATAAACCATCACCATAATCACACACACACAATTTGGAACAAAAAAAGAGAAGAATTACCAAAAATCAAGGTAAATGCTGAACTTTCATAATAATCCTTGTCATTCTCAATCCAGTCAAAGTAACATTAAGCGCACCAAGAAAGCTTGAATTCGTAAACAAATCTACAATCTCCTTAACCTCCTCATCCCCACATTCGTCAACAACCACCACACAAACTCCACCAGCCCTCACAGTCCTCTCCATCTCCGACACAAACCGGTTCGGAAACAAAGCCTTTGCGAAATGAGCACTAAAACCCAAATCAAACACATCGTCAAAGAAGGGCAAGTTGTGGGGATCGGCCCGGCTCACCAGAGGAGGCGAATCGAGGAGCTCAATCCCGGTGACGTCGGCGACGCCCAACTGGTTCAGGGCCATGACCTCGTGGCCGGCACCCGCTGAGACGCAGAGGACCTTGGAGTCGTTGTGCAGGAGACCCATTTGATAACATGCGCGAAAGAAGTTGGAGAAGGACTGGACTTTGTTCTGCCAGGTCTTGGTGGACCAGAGCCGCTTGTTCTTCTTGTGCAGAGGGAGGAGCTCGCGAGGCGATGAGTCGCAGGAGGATTTGGGGAAGCGGAGATGGGGCTTTGGGGGCGAATCTGGTGCGACGCAGGTGTCTGGAGTTTTGAGCAAGAGGAGGATGAAGGTGATTGTGCCTATGGTTATGGAGACGTACGAGAGCCTCTTCAAAAACATCTGTATGTGCCTCTCCATAACAGAGACCAGAAAAAGCTTTGTATCAATGGTGTTATCCACTAGAAAAAACTTGGGTCTTCTTCATTTTTGGACCTCGCTACAAATGTCGAATTTTCAGCCGCTTGAATTTTCTCAAAAGCCCTCAACTTTTAATCTAATTACACAAATCTCTCCGCCATTAAATTAAAAACGCGGTTTTTTCCCCAGCGCCTTTGAGCTTTCAACAACTTCGTCCCTTCCACTGTGATGGCTGTGACTCTCGTTAGGAGAGCCTCTCTGCTTCCCCTTCCCGCCAAATTCCGAACGCCGGCTCCGAAAACGGCGACGTTTTCCGAATTTGAAATTCCGGTGTCTTTTTCATTCACTTTCCTCAGTCACTATTGTTCGTCTGCTCTCCGTTTAGACCCATGCTACTATGGCGACCAACAACTCCACTACAGCTACGATTCTGACTCCTTCTTCGCGTCTCTGATTGATGGTTCGACCCAAAAGAGCCACTTGGGTCAAATTCACGCGCAATTACTTGTTTTGGGGCTGCAAGACAGTGGCTTTCTAATCACCAAATTGGTGAATGCAAGTTCGAATCTTGGGTATGTAACGTATGCCCGTCGGGTGTTTGATGAATTTACTGACCCGGATGTGTTTTTGTGGAACGCAATCATTAGGTGTTATTCTAGGCACATTGTGTTTGCTGATGCTTTAGAAATGTATGCTAGGATGCAAGCAATGGGTGTCAGTCCAGATGGTTTTACTTTTCCTCATGTGCTTAAAGCTTGCAGTGGCTTGCCGGACCTTGAAATGGGTCGCCGGGTTCATGGACAGGTGCTCAGGCATGGGTTTGAATCAGACGCGTTTGTGCAGAATGGTCTTGTGGCTCTGTATGCCAAATGTGGTCGAATAGAGCGTGCTAGGGCTGTGTTTGATTGTTTAAGTGAGAGGACGATTGTTTCGTGGACTTCGATAATTTCGGGGTATGCCCAGAATGGCCAGCCTTTGGAAGCTTTGAGGATCTTTGACCTTATGAGAAAATTGAATGTGAAACTAGATTGGATCGTTCTAGTTAGTGTTCTCAAAGCTTATACTGATGTAGAGGACTTGGGACAGGGGACATCAGTTCATGGTTGCTTAATTAAGATGGGTCTTGAATTTGAACCGGACTTGCTCATTGCACTGACAGCCATGTATGCAAAAAGTGGACAGGTGATGGCTGCCAGATCATTTTTTGATCAGATGGAAACACCAAATTTAATATTGTGGAATGCTATGATTTCTGGGTATGCGAAGAATGGTTATGCCGAGGAAGCTGTAGAGCTATTCCGTGAGATGATCAGTAAAAGTATAAGGCCAGATTCAATCACCATGAGGTCTGCTATCTTAGCATGCGCCCAGGTGGGTTCTGTTGGCTTAGCAAGATGGATGGATGATTATATCAGTAAAACTGAGTACATAAATCATGTTTTTGTTAACACAGCCCTGATTGATATGTATGCAAAATGTGGAAGTGTAGATTATGCTCGGATGGTTTTTGATAGAACACCTAATAAAGATGTTGTTGTCTGGAGTGCGATGATTGTGGGCTATGGATTACATGGCCGAGGACGAGAAGCCATTGATCTTTACCATTCTATGCAGCAGGCTGGGGTGCCGCCAAATGATGTGACCTTCCTAGGGCTCCTCACTGCATGCAACCACTCAGGCCTTGTGGAAGAGGGATGGGACCTTTTCCACAGCATGAAACACTACAGGATTGAGCCTGGCAACCAACATTATTCATGTGTGGTTGATCTTCTTGGACGTGCAGGCCACTTGGATCAAGCTTACGATTTTATCATGAAAATGCCAATTGAACCTGGCATAAGTGTATGGGGAGCACTTCTGAGTTCATGCAAGATTTATCGTCGCGTGACTTTAGGAGAATATGCTGCAGAACAGCTTTTCTCATTGGATCCATATAATACAGGACATTATGTTCAACTCTCAAATCTCTATGCTTCAGCCCGTTTATGGGACCGTGTCGCAAAGGTACGAGTACTGATGAGGGAGAAAGGACTGACTAAGGACCTTGGACATAGCTTGATTGAGATCAATGGGAAGCTTCAGGCGTTCCATGTGGGAGACAAGTCTCATCCAAGATCTAAGGAAATCTATGAAGAGCTTGAGAGTCTAGAGAGGAGGTTGAAGGAGGCTGGATTTATCCCACATACAGAATCTGTTCTGCATGACTTGAACCAGGAAGAGACAGAGGAGACACTTTGTAATCACAGTGAGAGGCTGGCAATTGCTTATGGCCTCATTAGCTCTGCTCCTGGGACTACACTTCGGATAAC